GAGGACTTTCAGCGAACATATAAATTCAGTCGAACACCAAAATTATTGGTAATGGTTGAAGTCCCTCGACCTGTACTACTTAGAACCAGAAAAATTCATAATATTTAACTGGAAAATTCTTGAGCGACTGTTGCCAAATCTGTACTGAAATTACAAAGGCCCCAATGGAAATAAGTCACTTTGTCTTGACTTTTTTGGGTTATCCTAGGTAATTTACAAAATGTCCAGTGGCCTGGTAGGCAACGCTCTTGCCTCACTCGCTGAGTGTCCGTGGTTCGGTCCCTGGTATGGGTCTGTTGTCTTGTTCACCTAGCAAGCAAGTAGGTACCATGGTGCCCCATGGCCTGGTGGCAAAAGCTGTTGCTTCGCACTGTGAGGGTCCAGGTTTGGTTCCTGGCAAGGATGGAAACATTGGACGTGTTTCCTTACACTGGTTGTCTATGTTCACCCATCAGTACAGTAGGTACCTGGGTGTTAGTTGACTGGTGTATGTCACATCCTGGGACAAAACTGACCTAATTTGTGGGAAATGCTCAGCATAACAAGCAGCTTTCTATATAGTAGTATGTCATTGATGTCAGCTATGGTCTGTATACCTTGTACAGTATATGTACTTGTAACAATTAAAGATATTATTATTAGTACAGTGGACCCCCGCTTTACGAATGCATCGCGTTACGTTAAATCCGCCATGCGAAGCATTTGAACGCAAAAATTTTGCCTCACCTCACGATAAAAAACTTGCCTTACATGATTCGTCCGGGACGCGTCCCACGTGTGGCCTCAGCTGCCCCGTGGGTGCCAGTGTTTACAAGGGTTTGGGGCTAACCCTGAGAAGCCTATGCCAGTTGTGAAATCCATTGTGCCTACTTCAAAGATTAAGGAAATGTTTGCAAAGTGGGTTGAAGTGCAAACCTTTATGGATGAAAATTACCCTAACACAGCTATTGCAAGCTGTGCTGGTGACTATTACAATGACAATGTTGTGGCCCATTTTAGGCAAATCTTAAAGGAATGGGAGGTACATACCTCTATGGACAGATTTGTTGTGCGACAGAGGTCCAATGACTCTCAAGCTGGTCCTAGTGGCATTAAAAAAAGAAGGGAAGTAACCCCAGAAAAGGATTTGCTACCTCAAGTCCTAATGGAAGGGGATTCCCCTTCTAAACAATAACTTCTACACTCTCCACTCCTCCCATCCCATCAATTATCACCAGATCTTCAATAAAGGTAAGTGTCATGTATTCTATTATTAGTAGAGTAGTAATTGTGCATGTCTTCAGTTTGTGTGTATTAAAATTAATATTTCATGTGGTAAATTTTTTTTTTTTTCATACTTTGGGGTGTCTTGCACGGATTAATTTGATTTCCATTATTTCTTATGAGGAAAATTAATTCACCTTGCAATAATTTCGGCTTACGATGAGCTCTCAGGAACGGATTAATATCGTTAGGCGGGTGTCCACTGTATTATTATTATTAAATCACTGGTATAGGTGGCATCCTGAGGGACAAGATTGAAGGACCACAATCGAAATAAGACAGTCCTCGATGACACACTGACTTTCTTGGGTTATCCTGGGTGGCTAACCCTTCAGGGTTAAAAATCCAAACAACCTGTACCTAAATAAACTTACTAAAGCAAGAAGTTAAGCAAGTGGTGCAGAAAATACCCAGTGAAGATCATGGAGACTAATAATGATAATAATAATCTGTTTCTACAAGTACATGATACAGCTTACACAGCCATAGCTGACATCAGTGGCATACTCTATAGAAAGCCCTGGTTATGCAGAGTATGTCCGGTAAATTAGGTCATTTTTGTCCCCAGAATGCAACCCACACCTGTCACTTAATACCCGGTACCTACTTACTGCTAGGTAAACAGGACAGCAGGTGTCTTAAAGAAACAAATCCTACATCCTAATGTTTCCACCTGTACTGGGCATCACACCACTGAGATGTGATGGTGTTCAGGAGACCTTGTAAAGTGGGAACGGCCATTCCACATTGAACGCACCACTTCTCGTCAGATCAATGAAGTTAAGCAACGTTGGGTTTGGTTAGTACTTGGATGGGTGACCTGGGAACACCAAATGCTGTTGGCATCAATCATTTTATGTGCTGCTATGCATAATTTATGTTATTGTCCGTATTTATGTGTACCCATACCTGATGGTCCCCAAGGGGCTGTCAGGGAGGAACATGACCACACTTGTAGGAGACTGGGGGTCCAGGATTAAAAAATTCTTTATACCTGTAATGTGCCTGTAAACAGTCTCAAGGGCTCATCTACCCATGTCTGCCATTCTGAAACCAGGCTTCCTTATTGACTTAGTAGGTTGTTGCTGCCAGTGACCCATAGGCACATAAACCATCAAGATCAAAGTCAAAGATTTTTTCCATATGATATAATGTACAGAAATGGGTGAAATTTGGTTGTGCATGCAGAAAACCCATGGTTATGCAGAGCACTTTGGGCACTTTCAACTTGAAAATGTCACAGTAACGTAATAATGGAGAAGCATTGCTGGGTTTAGCACTTACTTATGATTTTTTTTTAGCACACCAGCTGTATCCCAGAAAGGTGACCTTAAAAAAAATGAAAGTTTTTCTTTCTTTCCTGGTGGGTAATTTACACATGTTACTATGTATGATAACTTGTGTAACCGTCTTTATGTATACCTGTACATATGTAAACTTACTTAATCAGTCGAAGTCATTTAATATAGTGTATCGCAATATTGCTGGATTCTAGCGTATGACAGGGTGGATAGGGGGGCAATGTGGCAGATGTTGCAAGTGTATGGTGTAGGAGGTAGGTTACTGAAAGCAGTGAAGAGTTTTTACGAGGATAGTGAGGCTCAAGTTAGAGTATGTAGGAAAGAGGGAAATTTTTTCCCAGTAAAAGTAGGCCTTAGACAAGGATGTGTGTTCCCGTGGTTTTTTTAATATATTTATAGATGGGTTTTAAGAGAAGTAATGCGAGGGTCTTGCAAGAGGCGTGAGTTAAAAGATAAAGAATCAACACAAAGTGGGGGTTTTTCACAGCTGCTCTTTGCTGATGGACACTGGTGCTCTTGGAGATTCTGAAGAGAAGTTGCAGAGATTGGTGGATGAATTTGGTAGGGTGTGCAAAAGAAGAAAATTAAAGGTGAATACAGGAAAGAGTAAGGTTATGAGGATAACAAAAAGATTAGTGATGAAAGATTGAATATCAGATTGGAGGGAGAGAGTATGGAGGAGGTGAACGTATTCAGATATTTGGGAGTGGACGTGTCAGCGGATGGGTCTATGAAAGATGAGGTGAATCATAGAATTGATGAGGGAAAAAGAGTGAGTGGTGCACTTAGGAGTCTGTGGAGACAAAGAACTTTGTCCTTGGAGGCAAAGAGGGGAATGTATGAGAGTATAGTTTTTACCAACGCTCTTATATGGGTGTGAAGCGTGGTGATGAATGTTGCAGCGAGGAGAAGGCTGGAGGCAGTGGAGATGTCATGTCTGAGGGCAATGTGTGGTGTGAATATAATGCAGAGAATTCGTAGTTTGGAAGTTAGGAGGAGGTGCGGGATTACCAAAACTGTTGTCCAGAGGGCTGAGGAAGGGTTGTTGAGGTGGTTCGGACATGTAGAGAGAATGGAGCGAAACAGAATGACTTCAAGAGTGTATCAGTCTGTAGTGGAAGGAAGGCGGGGTAGGGGTCGGCCTAGGAAGGGTTGGAGGGAGGGGGTAAAGGAGGTTTTGTGTGCGAGGGGCTTGGACTTCCAGCAGGCATGCGTGAGCGTGTGTGATAGGAGTGAATGGAGACAAATGGTTTTTAATACTTGACGTGCTGTTGGAGTGTGAGCAAAGTAACATTTATGAAGGGATTCAGGGAAACCGGCAGGCCGGACTTGAGTCCTGGAGATGGGAAGTACAGTGCCTGCACTCTGAAGGAGGGGTGTTAATGTTGCAGTTTAAAAACTGTAGTGTAAAGCACCCTTCTGGCAAGACAGTGATGGAGTGAATGATGGTGAAAGTTTTTCTTTTTCGGGCCACCCTGCCTTGGTGGGAATCGGCCGGTGTGATAATAAAAAAAAAAAAAAAATTATGAACATCCATCTAGGATTTGGCCTTGATGCTGGTAAAGGGTTATGCAATATATCCAGGGCATTCCAGTGCTGTATTACCCTTGTAGGTTTAGCACCTCATTTTGATTATAATAATAATTCAAGGAATTAGAGCTACTCTCCCTGTCCTGACCCCCTATATGTTTAGCACATCTTAACGTTTATAATAATAATAATCTTTTATAAACATCCAGCAAAAAATAACCAACTTCGATGAAATATATACAGGCTTACCTTGTTAATATGGCATTTATTAATATTGTGCTTTTCAATTTATGTTTGTTGTTTTCTTGCTCTGAAGATGATTTTTGGCAATTTTAATTTTTTTAATTTATTATTCTTACTTTTCCATCTTTTTTTAGGGTCTAGTGCTATTGCACACTTAATAAATGGTAGTGAAATAAGTCACTTTGTCTCACTTTTTTGGGGTTATCCTAGGTAAAGTACACATATGTTACTATGCAAAACAACCACTCTGAAAGAATAGAGAAATTCCAATAGTTCCTTGATAATGTGAGTAGTCACGAAAGCACTTGGAATTTCTCTATTCTTTCAGAGTGGTTGTTTTGCATATTTTGAAATCACCTGTTTACTGTGATCTTATTGCACATATGTTACTATGTATAATAATTTATGTAACTGTATTTATGTGTACCTGTACCTGAATAAACTTACTTACTGGCAAGTGAACAACAATAGGCTGTGATTTGCTTTAAGGTGATATTCACTCAATGATGGTAGTCTGGAACCTAACTTGCTGTATTAGTGAGGTATTCTTGTAGTTTCTTCCTTTATAAAATAGTGATTTTTTCAGATGTATCTTAGCATATAGTAATAGTAAATTGGTGTTGAAAAAAGATATACTGTGTCTCATTACTGATTGATTTTCAGGTTTTAGAATCATGTGAGGGAGGGCGGCCAAATGAAGTCACAATTGAGGTCAGCCACGATGTTACCAGCACAGACACAGACAGTGGCATGTCAGGTCAGTGTTGACATCTCTAGTCAATTAAAGACAGTCATAAAGTGTAATAAATACAGTCTAATTCGGTATACAAGTTCATTTCATATTGCTAATAGTAACTTTCACATATTTCAGGTGGGGCGAAGGAAAGTCATCGGGGTCGACGGAAACGAGGAGAGGTCAGTGAAGCTGGGTCAGAGGGCAGTGAAGAGAGGTCACTGACCCCTCCTCACCATCCTGACCAAAGGCCACCCACTGTGAGCCCTGACCAGGGTGTGGTCACTGATGACTGTTGGGCCAGTGCTGTCACAGGTGATGGTGCCCCACTGCAATTTAAGGTCAGTACCATTTGAAGACTCTCTTAATATACATACATATATATGTATGTACTATATATATATATATATATATATATATATATATATATATATATATATATATATATATATAATATATATATATATATATATATATATATATATTTATATATATATATATATATATATATATATATATATATATATATATATATATATATATATATATATATATAATATATATATATATATATATATATATATATTTATATATATATAAGAAGAAGAAGATTGTCAAAGTGGGAAGTCTGAATGTTGCGTGGATGTTGTGCAGATGATAAGAAAGAGATGGTTGTGGATGTATGAATGAGAAGAAGCTGGATGTCCTGGCTTTAAGTGAAACAAAGCTGAAGGGGGTGGGAGATTTCAGTGGAGAGGAATAAATGGGATTAGGTCAGGGGTTTCAAATAGAGTTAGAGCTAAAGAAGGAGTAGCAATAATGTTGAAGGATAAGCTATGGCAGGAAAAGAGGGACTAACAAATGTATTAATTCAAGGATTATGTGGAGTAAAATAAAGATTGGATGTGAAAAGTGGGTTATAATAAGCGTGTATGCACTTGGAGAAGAGAGAAGTGTAGAGGAGAGAGAGAGATTTTGGGAAATGTTGAGTGAATGCGTGGGGAGTTTGAATCAAGTGTGAGAGTAATGGTGGTTGGGGATTTCAATGCTAAAGTGGGTAAAAATGTTATGGAAGGAGTAGTAGGTAAATTTGGGGTGCCAGGGTAAATGTAAATGGGGGAGCCTTTAATTGAGCTATGTGTAGAAAGAAATTTGGTAATAAGTAATACATATTTTTATGAAAAAGAGGATAAATAAATATACAAGGTATGATGTAGCACGTAATGAAAGTAGTTTATTAGATTATGTATTGGTGGATAAAAGGTTGATGGGTAGGCTCCAGGATGTACATGTTTATAGAGGGGCAACTGATATATCGATCATTATTTAGTTGTAGCTACAGTTAGAGTAAGAGGTAGATGGGAAAAGAGGAAGGTGGCAACAACAAGTAAGAGGGAGGTGAAAGTGTATAAACTAAGGAGGAGGAAGTTCGGTGAGATATAAGCGACTATTGGCAGAAAGGTGGGCTAGTGCAAAGATGAGTAGTGGGGGGGTTGAAGAGGGTTGGAATAGTTTTAAAAATGCAGTATTAGAATGTGGGCAGAAGTTTGTGGTTATAGGAGGGTGGGGGCAGGAGGAAAGAGGAGTGATTGGTGGAATGATGAAGTAAAGGGTGTGATAAAAGAGAAAAAGGTAGCTTATGAGAGGTTTTTACAAAGCAGAAGTGTTATAAGAAGAGCAGAGTATATGGAGAGTAAAAGAAAGGTAAAGAGAGTGGTGAGAGAGTGCAAAAGGAGAGCAGATGATAGAGTGGGAGAGGCACTGTCAAGAAATTTTTAATGAAAATAAGAAAAAAATTTTGGAGTGAGTTAAACAAGTTAAGAAAGCCTAGGGAAAATATGGATTTGTCAGTTAAAAACAGAGTAGGGGATTTTAGTAGATGGGGAGATGGAGGTATTGGTAGATGGCGAGAATATTTTGGGGAACTTTAAATGTTAAGGAAGAAACAGAGGCAGTAATTTCATGCACTGGTCAGGGAGGTATACCATCTTTTAGGAGTGAAGAAGAGCAGAATGTAAGTGTGGGGGAGGTACGTGAGGCATTACGTAAAATGAAAGGGGGTAAAGCAGCTGGAACTGAGGGGATCATGACAGAAATTGTTAAAAGCAGGGGGGGATATAGTGTTGGAGTGGTTGGTACTTTTGTTTAATAAATGTATGAAAGAGGGGAAGGTACCTAGGAATTGGCAGAGAGCATGAAATAGTCCCTTTATATAAAGGGAAAGGGGACAAAAGAGACTGTAAAAATTATAGGGGAATAAGCTTACTGAGTATACCAGGAAAAGTGTACGGTAGGGTTATAATTGAAAGAATTAGAGGTAAGACAGAATGTAGGATTGCGGATGAGCAAGGAGGTTTTAGAGTGGGTAGGGGATGTGTAGATCAGGTGTTTACATTGAAGCATATATGTGAACAGTATTTAGATAAAGATAGGAAGTTTTTATTGCATTTATGGATTTAGAAAAGGCATAGATAGAGTGGATAGAGGAGCAATGTGGCAGATGTTGCAAGTATATGGAATAGGTGGTAAGTTATTAAATGCTGTAAAGAGTTTTTATGAGGATAGTGAGGCTCAGGTTAGGGTGTGTAGAAGAGAGGGAGACTACTTCCCGGTAAAAGTAGGTCTTAGACAGGGATGTGTAATGTCACCATGGTTGTTTAATATATTTATAGATGGGGTTGTAAAGGAAGTAAATGCTAGGGTGTTTGGGAGAGGGGGATTAAATTATGGGGAATCAAATTCAAAATGGGAATTGACACAGTTACTTTTTGCTGATGATACTGTGCTTATGGGAGATTCTAAAGAAAAATTGCAAAGGTTAGTGGATGAGTTTGGGAATGTGTGTAAAGGTAGAAAGTTGAAAGTGAACATAGAAAAGAGTAAGGTGATGAGGGTGTCAAATGATTTAGATAAAGAAAAATTGGATATCAAATTGGGGAGGAGGAGTATGGAAGAAGTGAATGTTTTCAGATACTTGGGATTTGACGTGTCGGCGGATGGATTTATGAAGGATGAGGTTAATCATAGAATTGATGAGGGAAAAAAGGTGAGTGGTGCGTTGAGGTATATGTGGAGTCAAAAACGTTATCTATGGAGGCAAAGAAGGGAATGTATGAAAGTATAGTAGTACCAACACTCTTATATGGGTGTGAAGCTTGGGTGGTAAATGCAGCAGCGAGGAGACAGTTGGAGGCAGTGGAGATGTCCTGTTTAAGGGCAATGTGTGGTGTAAATATTATGCAGAAAATTTGGAGTGTGGAAATTAGGAGAAGGGTGGAGTTAATAAAAGTATTAGTCAGAGGGCAGAAGAGGGGTTGTTGAGGTGGTTTGGTCATTTAGAGAGAATGGATCAAAGTAGAATGACATGGAAAGCATATAAATCTATAGGGGAAGGAAGGCGGGGTAGGGGTCGTCCTCGAAAGGGTTGGAGAGAGGGGGTAAAGGAGGTTTTGTGGGTAAGGGGCTTGGACTTCCAGCAAGCGTACATGACGTGTTAGATAGGAGTGAATGGAGACGAATGGTACTTGGGACCTGACGATCTGACGTATATATATATATAATTTATATATATATATATATTTTTTTTTTTTCAACAAGTCGGCCGTCTCCCACCGAGGCAGGGTGACCCATAAAAGAAAGAAAATCCCCAAAAAGAAAATACTTTCATCATCATTCAACACTTTCACCACACTCACCACATTATCACTGTTTTTGCAGAGGTGCCAGAATACAAAAAGTTTAGAAGCATACACATATAAAGATACACAACATATCCCTCCAAACTGCCCCAATATCCCAAACCCCTCCTTTAAAGTGCAGGCATTGTACTTCCCATTTCCAGGACTCAAGTCCAACTATATGAAAATAACCGGTTTCCCTGAATCCCTTCACTAAATATTACCCTGCTCACACTCCAACAGATCGTCAGGTCCCAAGTACCATTCATCTCCATTCACTCCTATCTAACACGCTCACGCACGCCTGCTGGAAGTCCAAGCCCCTCGCCTACAAAACCTCCTTTACCCCTTCCTTCCAACCTTTTCGAGGACGACTCCTACCCTGCCTTCCTTCTCCTACAGATTTAAATGCTCTCCATGTCATTCTACTTTGATCCATTCTCTCTAAATGACCAAACCACCTCAACAACCCCTCTTCAGCCCTCTGACTAATACTTTTATTAACTCCACACCTTCTCCTAATTTCCACACTCCGAATTTTCTGCATAATATTTACATCACACATTGCCCTTAGACAGGACATCTCCACTGCCTCCAACCGTCTCCTCGCTGCTGCATTCACAACCCAAGCTTCACACCCATATAAGAGTGTTGGTACTACTATACTTTCATACATTCATACACTAAAATTAAAAAAAAAAAAAAAATAAATTTTAGTGTTATGATTTACAAAATGATAGTAATAAAACTAAATTAGTTATTTTTTGTTTGACTGATAAATTTATATTCATGAATATGCCTATGCATTTTAAATTTATGAGGAAGTACTATGCTCAAAAGGGTCATATTGCAACTTGGGAATGGGAATTAATGAGGCTTGATCCAAGGAAGGAGAGGCTGTCTCCATGTTCTCAGGTCTAGAGCTCATCACAAGAGTCAAAGCACCTTCTTGAAGGGTAATGTTACAGTAGTAATGAGTTATTTACAAGAATAATGGAATTCATTAGCACATATTTACAGTGCAAACATACTCCATGGGAAAGTCGAAAAGAATCCTTACTCTGAAAGCTGTGTTTGTTGTAAAAGGCGACTAAAATACTGGGAGCAAGGGGCTAGTAACCCTTTCTCCTGTGTAAATTACTAAATGCAACAAGATCACAGTTAACAGGTGATATCACAATATGCAAAATAACCACTGTGAAAAAAAAATTAGTGAACATTCAAGCATTTTTATGATTTCTCACATTATCAAGGATGTGATAATGTCCTTGATAATGTGAGAAATCACAAAAGCACTTGGATGTTTACTATTTTTTTACAGTGGTTGTTTTGCAAATTACTAAATGTAAAAAAAAAAAAAGAACTTTATAAAGCAAGTGTTTCCTCTTTTTTTCGGTCACCCTGCCTCAGTTGAAGACAGCTGGTGTACTGAAAAAATATGCTCACAAAACAGTATAAAAACCAACATTTGAAGTTTTTGGAAAACATCTTCCGTGAATTTAACAGACTTCATATACTGTACTTCTATTTGATTTGTTTTTCTTCAGAATTCATTATCAATATCAGTAGAACAGCATAAATTAATCATTACTTAATTCCATTTTGGAACTCTACGATTTCTGGGGTACTGTACACTGAGGCAAGACATCAAAGTGCTTCTTGTATAAGCAGTGAGGTATGTTTTGGTTTCAGAATTAAAACAATGACTAGGAAGTAGGCTTACACTCCAGCCATGTGAATATTGCTGCTATGAATAAACAGAAGTTTGGACAAGGAGCTTAAATCATGGTCAGTTAATTGGCAGTCTGACGGTCTACTGTCTAGGCTAACCCAGGCCTCTAATAGGAAGGATTTGGAGATAATACTTACTGTATTACATTCCGTCGGAGGCACCAACTGTAACCAAAATGAACTCCTTCCCTCGGCCCAGGAGCTTGAGCAGTAGATCAGTTCTTACCCCCTTCAAGGCCACATCATCTGTGAACTCAAATTAAGTTGCAATAAACAACTGTTGATGAATAAACAGGATAGATGAGGGGCTTGGACAATGGCTCGAGCCCCTCATCCATCCTTCTGTTTATTCATTGACACTTCTTTATTACAGCATAACTTGAGTTCATTGCTGCTATATTTATTTTCATGGTAATCTGCAAGCCACCAGTGGCTAGCCAGGCAGGACAACTGTGACATTTGTCTCAAGAATCAAGGGCATTATATGATAGCAAAGGTGTCCCATTATTTATCAGTTGTATGTTGTGCAAGTGTCTTAACTTTCATCAGTTGTATTTACCATGTAACAAAAAGTTACATTGAAATATTGTCAAGCTGGCATTATCTATACACTAGTCATTATTTTGTATGCAACACCCATAAGTCAAAAGTACATTTAGGGGCAGTTAAGTTAGAAACAAAAGATGGGCTTATTCACTACTGTATTCTTAAATTACATTATTCAGTATACCATTGGCTCTGAACATTTTATATAAAAGAGATCCTACTGTATTTTATACTATTCATTTCCAGCCAGTAGGTTTGTGTGACATGTCAAAGAATAAAAAAGAATAAAGATTTTATTTCTTTGTGAAGGTTACAATTTGTAATTACAATTTTGGCTTGTTAAGTACAAAAAAAGACACAATCATGCCATGACATTTCGGGCAGACTAATTCTAATACGTACATAATAGCTACTTAAATCTAGACAAGATAAGAGTGGTCCAAATTTTTCCTAAAACTTTTAAGTAATTTTTGACTCACTACTTTTATAAACTGTTTATTATTGCCACACACCACACTACATACTTTAGAAATTCTTGTGTTCAGCACTTTAGTTGTATCTCTTCTCTGGAATGTTTATTTCTGTTTGGTTTCTCAGAAGCATTTTTTTTTTAGTTTAGTTCACCTTCCTCTTCTGTAGTTCAAGTTATTTAAAGTTTTATTTTTTATCTGATTTGTAATTTACTGGATGCATGAGATTTTTTCTATGAGGGGATTGGTGTACAGTACTATATTTATTTTTTTGTATATTATTCTTTGACTTTTTCATACTCAGGTTGCCGTAGTATTGTATGGTGGTTAAAAAATCCAGTTATCGTACTCAGTTGTTCTTTTGTTTTCAGTTTCATTCTTGTAACCATATCAATATATTTCTTTATACAGTACAGATTTTAACAGTTTTTTCCCTGCCATAGATTGAAGAACACGTGGAAGAAATCACCACTCATCGCTTGACTGATGATGATGACCAGGACCTGGATTGTGCCTATGACAATGATGTTAGTGACTCTGGTGGATCATGGCGAGGTTCTCGTTGCTCCTTGGATGACTCGAGAGAGACGAGGCATCACAAGGTGTCCCACCACTCAGTGACAGAAGATCCACTACTGTCCACCATTAATGTTGCTCTTCCAGACCCTGCTCACATTTCTGACAGGAGGGTCTCCTTCCCTGAACTTGGTGCTGATATTATACATGGTCAGTGTTCCAGACCTCTCCTTAGTATTAATTTTTTTGCAGAATGTTATAATACACAGAGTGTTATAATACAGTTAGTTTTTCACATCCATTTTTAACCTTTAAACTGTCCAAACATAGATCTACATTCACATGCGTAGCGCTCCAAAAGTAGATCTACATTTTTTACATTTTTCAAATATATAAAAAAAAAAGTAGATTAAAGTTTTTTATATGCTTTCAAATGTAAAAAAAAAAATAGAAGATCTATGTTTTTTTTACATACAGTGGACCCCCGGTTCGCGATATTAATCTGTTTCTGAGAGCTCATCGTAAACCAAAAATATCGGAAAGCGAATCAATTTTCCCCATAAGAAATAATGGAAATCAAATTAATTCGTGCAAGACACCCAAAAGTATGAAAAAAAAACTTTTACCACATGAAATATTAAGTTTAATGCACACAAACTGAAGAAGACATGCAGTTTGTAGTATGTACTCTACTAACAATAGAATACATGACACTTACCTTTAATGAAGATCTGGTGATGATTGATGGGATGGGAGGAGGGGAGAGTGTCAAACCTATTGTTTAGAAGGGGAATCCCCCTCCATTAGGACTTGAGGTAGCAAGTCCTTTTCCGGGGTTACTTCCCTTCTTCTTTTAATGCCACTAGGACCAGCTTGTGAGTCACTGGACTTCTGTCGCACAACATATCTGTCCATAGAGGCCTGTACCTCTCGTTTCTTTATGACTTTCCTAAAGTGGTTCACAACAGTGTCATTGTACAGGTTGCCAACATGGCTTGCAGTAGCTGTCTGAGGGTGATTTTCATCAAAAAAGCTTTGCAATTCAAGCCACTTTGCACACATTTCCCTAATCTTTGAAGTAGGCAACTTCTTCACTTTCTCCATCCCCTCCTCCGAAGCAGTTTCCTCAGGTCTGGCCTCTTGCTGTTGAAGATGATCTAGCAGCTCATCAGTGGTTAGTTTGTCATTGTCCTCCTTAGCTTCGAACTATAGACCAATAAGCCTAACCTCCATAGTGGGAAAATTTATGGAATCAATAATTGCCGAGGCAGTTCGTAGCCACCTTGAAAAGCATAAATTAATCAACGAATCTCAGCATGGTTTTACAAAGGGGCGTTCCTGCCTTACGAATTTATTAACTTTTTTCACTAAGGTATTTGAGGAGGTAGATCATGGTAATGAATATGATATTGTGTATATGGACTTCAGTAAGGCTTTTGACAGGGTCCCACATCAGAGACTATTGAGGAAAATTAAAGCACATGGAATAGGAGGAGAAATTTTTTCCTGGATAGAGGCATGGTTGACAAATAGGCAGCAGAGAGTTTGCATAAATGGGGAGAAATCAGAGTGGGGAAGCGTCACGAGCGGTGTTCCACAGGGGTCAGTGTTGGGCCCCCTGCTGTTCACAATCTACATAAACGACATAGATGAGGGCATAAAGAGCGACATCGGCAAGTTTGCCGATGACACCAAAATAGGCCGTCGAATTCATTCTGACGAGGACATTCGAGCACTCCAGGAGGATTTGAATAGACTGATGCAGTGGTCGGAGAAGTGGCAGATGCAGTTTAATATAGACAAATGCAAAGTTCTAAATGTTGGACAGGACAATAACCATGCCACATATAAACTAAATAATGTAGATCTTAATATTACGGATTGCGAAAAAGATTTAGGAGTTCTGGTTAGCAGTAATCTGAAACCAAGACAACAGTGCATAAGTGTTCGCAATAAAGCTAATAGAATCCTTGGCTTCATATCAAGAAGCATAAATAATAGGAGTCCTCAGGTTGTTCTTCAACTCTATACATCCTTGGTTAGGCCTCATTTAGATTATGCTGCACAGTTTTGGTCACCGTATTACAGAATGGATATAAATTCTCTGGAAAATGTACAAAGGAGGATGACAAAGATGATCCCATGTATCAGAAACCTTCCCTATGAGGATAGACTAAGGGCCCTGAAACTGCACTCTCTAGAAAGACGTAGAATGAGGGGGGATATGATTGAGGTTTATAAGTGGAAGACAGGAATAAATAAAGGGGATGTAAATAGTGTGCTGAAAATATCTAGCCTAGACAGGACTCGCAGCAATGGTTTTAAGTTGGAAAAATTCAGATTCAGGAGGGATATAGGAAAGTACTGGTTTGGTAATAGAGTTGTGGATGAGTGGAACAAACTCCCAAGTACCGTTATAGAGGCCAGAACGTTGTGTAGCTTTAAAAATAGGTTGGATAAATACATGAGTAGATGTGGGTGGGTGTGAGTTGGACCTGATAGCTTGTGCTAACAGGTCGGTTGCCGTGTTCCTCCCTTAAGTCAATGTGACCTGACCTGACTAGGTTGGGTGCATTGGCTTAAGCCGGTAGGGACTTGGACCTGCCTCGCATGGGCCAGTAGGCCTTCTGCAGTGTTCCTTCGTTCTTATGTTCTTATGTTCTTACATCCTCCTCACTAACCTCCAACCCCAAGGACTTTCCCAGTGCCACAATGGATTCCTCAGCTGGCATAGGCTTCTCAGGGTTAGCCTCAAACCCTTCAAAATCCCTTTTGTCTACACATTCTGGCCACAGTTTTTTCCAAGCAGAGTTCAAGGTCCTCTTAGTCACTCCCTCCCAAGCCTTACCTATAAGGTTTACACGATTGAAGATATTAAAGTGATCCTTCCAAAACTCCTTTAGAGTCAATAGAGTGTCTGTGGTCACTTCAGAACACCTTTCAAACATAGCTTTTGTGTACAGTTTCTTGAAGTTGGAAATGATCTGCTGGTCCATGGGCTGCAGGAGAGGAGTGGTATTAGGAGGCAAAAACTTGACCTTAATGAAGCTCATGTCCCCAGAAAGTCGCTCTGCCAAGTCTGTAGGATGACCAGGGGCATTGTCTAATACCAGGAGGCACTTAAGGTCTAATTTCCTTTCAATTAGGTAATTTTTCACATTGGGGCAAATGCATGGTGTAACCAGTCATAGAAAAAGTCCCTAGTGACCCATGCCTTATTGTTTGCCCTCCACAGCACACATAAATTAGCCTTGTTTCAGACTTCGGAACAATGCTCTTCTCCAGACTGAGGGACTGACCACCTCAAATCTTTAAGGGTGATGGACTGATTACATCGTCTTCAAGTCTCTTCTGCTTCAATCAACTTTTCTGTACTCGACTGAAAAAGCCTACTGTGTAGGCGAAACGTTTCAAAAAAAAGATACCTAACTGTTGCATATGTGTCTTACCTAACAACCTGTCGGTATTTTATACCATTTTAATGTTCAATCTGTCAGACACTGCGACACAAGGGTATCTTGGTACAGACCTGAAATCAACTTCGACAACCTCTACTAGTGAGAACGGCTGGATTTGAGAGGGACCTGACCTCCCAAAGCGACCTACATCTCACCTCCTGATGCTATATAAGGCTCCATTCTGTCCTTTCAACTTCATATTGTTTCAGACTTCGGAACAATGCTCTTCTCCTGACTGAGGGACTGACCACCTCAAATCTTTAAGGGTGATGGACTGATTACATCGTCTTCAAGTCTCTTCTGCTTCTATCAACTTTTCTGTACTCGACTGAAGAAGCCTACTGTGTAGGCAAAACGTTTCAAAATAAAGATACCTAACTGTTGCATATGTGTCTTACCTAACACATCCACACCAATAACAGTCTCTCAACATTTTCTAACACTTGCAGTCGCTGTTTCGTAATCACAGTTGCACCTTTTGCAACAACAGCTTCCTTGATTGCCATTTTCCTGGTCACTATAGTAGAGATGGTTGATTGGGGTTTTGTATACAACTTGGCCAGCTTCGACACACGCACTCCACTTTCGTACTTTGCTATTATCTCTTTCTTCATTTCAGTAGTCATTAGCACCCTTGGTCTCGAAGGGTTGGCACCAGAAGCTTTCTTGGGGCCCATGGTGACTTATTTTGCAGAAACAAGCACCAAAAAACTCTGTGATAATATGGAATGTACCGAATGTATCCTTAGATGTGAGCACACTGGCGGGCTTGTAAACACTGGCACACACTGGGCAGTTCAGGCCACACGTGAACACATCTTGGACGAATTGCGTATACCGGGTTTTGTAACGGGAACCGAGGCAAATTTTTTGCGATATGATGCATCACATACCGGATTTTTCGGATACCGATAGCATCGCGAACTGGGGGTCCACTGTACTTTCAAATGTTGAAAAAACGTAGATCTACGTTTGGACAGTTTAAGGGTTAAGAGTTACCTGAATTCCATGTGGCCAGCCTGCTTGATCAGGCCCTGATCCATTGGAAGGCTTGATCAAAGACTGGGTTGCTGGGGGCATTGACCCCCAGAACAACCTCCAGGTAGACTCTAGGTAGATCTTTTTTGTAGGGGTTTCCCTAGAGCTTTGCTTAGAGTTTAAGATGGAAATTTGGTTATTGCAAACTGTCAACAGAAATGTTACTGTTTGAGGCTACCTTGATTGTAATTTCTGACACAGTAGCCCAAAATACAGGTAGATTTAGCCTCTTGACAGTGCTCTTCAAATGGATTCCACCCCATCACAATATATGATTAGGTGACACTTCCTCAAACACATGACATTACTGGACCTAACCCTACCTAGCTCACCTGACTTCCTTTCCCTTATATATTCTGTGGTTGTCTGTTCTCTGTGTTAGATTAAAAACCTTCAGTGGCAAAACATGTCCTAATTAATGTTCTGAGTGTTGCATTTATTAAGAATTTGTCAGTTTTATCATACCTGTACCAGTGCTGTAGCTGTATAGCATCTCTGAAGCTTCTTCATTGTTTATGCTCTGTGTTGTATACAGTATTGCATTTGTGGCTCTTGATCCAAAAAACTGGAGCTAAATTTTCTTTGATTAAATATGATTGTCTCCCATCTCTCAGGTGACGTATGACCATTTTGGGTTTAGCACTTTCTCCTTGATTATAATACAGCAATAATATTTTGTTTTGCCTCATCAGTTGCCTTTCCCAATTCACTCACTGTCCTGCCAGAAGAGTGCTGGTATCACAATTCAGATGATTCTCTGAGTTAAAACATTCATACTCCTCCTCTAGAGTGCAGGCACTGCCCTATCCACCTCCAGGATTCAAGTCTGGCTAAACAGCTTCCCTGAATATCATTACCTTAATTTCTATTTAATTTTATAACATTTAGGCAGCATTTAAGCAGGCATGATCATTTATGTACAAAGTATACATTGTTTGACTTTCAGATTTCTGTTCAGATGTAGATTGCTGTGATGTTGGACCTGGTGACATGGTGCTGAATTCTGACACTTGGGAAGAGAACTGGCTCTTCAGACGGCAGCGGCTGATGGGTGCCTCTGCTTCTGACCCTGTGACAATGCTCATCCCAAATCCTGAAGCTCATGTTCCAGCTACTGTGGGAAATAGGTTGGTTTCTATTTTTTTTTTTTTCATGATTTCATCACTGTCAAATGGTAGAGGGTGGTAGTGATAGCTGAAGTAAATTTAAATTATTTTTTCTTTTTCAGTTAACTCGTAGTATTGTATACCATTCATGTATAGCTCATTGTGTCCTAAAGGAAAAAATGATATAGTATTTAGTATTGTATTTTCCCTTCATTCTAATAAAATGTGTGTATAGTATTTGCCATTCTTTTACTTCATATATTGTTCTGAAATCTTGAGTAAGAAAGTGGTAAAAAATGCTGGCATGACCTACAAGCAGTGCTCACTCTATAAGAATGTAATTTACAAGAACGTTCTTTAATAAGTATGAGATATTTAAATAGTAATTTTATTTTATTCCTGAATTCTGTTGAAGCCACATGGGTCTGGGCAAGGGGTGGTTGAGGCTTGAACCTTCCATACGCTAACTGTGACAGAGGCTGGCATGACAATTATTCTAAGTTTAGAAAAAATAAGTCACAATACCATGGTTAGTAAAATTCAAATATAATCTGGCCATCATGACACAAAATTATAATAAGGACTCGCTTGCAATGGGTTCAAATCCCACCCAGTCTGTTGTTTGTTTACAGTTGTGTTATTATGACTCATAAAGTCACTTGGTCAGTTTTATGTGATAGGGTGATATCTTTAGATGTTTTAACATTTTATATAACAATCTTTTAATTATTTCAGCAAAAGGAGATTGTACAGACAATATTTTTAACAGAAGTATTTACTTATCTGCCACATTCTGAGTTTTTGAGAGGAACTGACTTGGAGCTTGAAATATTTTGAAAAATGTACATTACATCTTATGAGGCAAAGAGGAAGAAATTATATAATGTATGAAAACATAATGGTTACAAAGTGGAGCAATCTGGATGAGGAAACGGAGTCCATACACAGTTTTAAGAGTTAATATGGTAAGACTCATGGTACCAGGAATAGATTGTAATTACAAAGTGGAACTAGGAACTGAGACCCTCCAATCCTTGCCACAAATTAGTGAGCACACTATCTATAGGTTTCAATTTTTCTCAATACATTATTAAAATACATGTACTATTACTTAGACATGATAAATAAAAATTATCTTTAATATCTTTAAATACTGCAGACATCACAATATTCTTGGTTATGTTTGCAGGGATATAGATGAATTGTCTGAATTGTCGGAGCAGCAGTCTATTGGCAGCGGGGAGCCTTGGAGCATGAGTGAGAGTGATGGAGAGGGAGAGTGTATGAAGAGTTGCCAGCCAAGCACTGCATCTAGGGAACTCTCTACACTTGCAGGTTAGTTAGTGTATAAGTACTAACTGCTGTTGCAAGTTTATTCTTTATTTTACAGATTTTGTTTTTTACACGCCAGTCATCTCCCACCGAGGTAATGTGACCCAAAAGAAGAAACACTGTCACAATCATTCACTCCATCACTGGCTCACCAGAGGCATGTTGATACCACAGCTCAGATGCCTCTCCAAACTGCAGATATCCCCACCCCTCCTTCAGAGTGCAAGCACTCTGAAGTCCAGGACTCTAGTCTGGCTAACTTGTTTCCTTGAATCCCTTCAGAAAGTGTTAACTTGCTCACATTTCAACAACTCACCAAGTCCCAAAAACTATTTGCCTCCACTCACCCCTGTCTAACATGCTCTCACATGCCACACTCCCTACCCTCCCCTTTCCTCTTTCCTTTTTCTCCTTTGGGTTGTCTTTCTTCTGCCCTGTGTATTTGTTCCTCCTTTATTTATTTATTTATTTGTTCCCCCCCCCCTCGGTGTTCCTGCTCTTACCCTCTGTGGGCACCTAGCTCCCTTGCAGTGCTCCTCTTTCTTAGTATTTGACTGGCCCCTCCTACTCTTACTACCTCTCCACTACTACTTCCTCCCCTCTACTACTACCACCTCCTGCCTATATATACCCATCCTGCTCTCCTTTTCGTTAGTGTGACTTTGTAAATGGTCCAAGTCGGACTGAAACGTCATCATAAGCTCCTCTCTTCTATGTGCGGGTTATTTGTTCATTGTTTCTCGGTGAGTGTTACAGTTCGAATCTTAGTCGTTTGCCAGGTTTAGTGCCCACTGTAACAAAAACACTTCCAAGAATAAAAAGGAACTTCAAATCTTGGAAATATAGGGTGCAAATAAGAATTACTCAGCATTTTTCAGGCTTTTTATTAAAAATTTTAAATACTTCTCTTGGATATTTGTAAATATCCATTAAATATTACTTAATGAGATTCTTTCTATCATTTAAAAATCCTAAATTGTAGGTATACAATATTACGGGTCTTAACCATAAATTAGCACCTTCAGTGTCTATACGGACACTACACTTGAAAATATTCAGAGGAGCAAGACTGTTTCCTCAATAGTAACACATGACTTGAAAAAGTATATACTACATCAAAAAGGAACTCCTTCACTGAATACGGTCAATATCACTGGGAATTCTACACACGATGCTGGTAGACACATCGTATCTGGATATGACTTTCTGCTGTCTTCACCACAGAATTTCCAACTCAAGCCAGTTCAGGAGTTTCTCAGCTAGACTCTCCAAGACGCCAGGAGAGAACAGAACCGGAGTACTAGTAGGTCTGCCAAGACGCTGTTCACCCAGTCAGCAGTGAGTGTGAACTGGCCTTACACAGTAAATCCCTTCATGATGTCAACTCGTCAAAGGGGAAGAGGGTAGAGCGGTGTGAACTACCCACCAATGGACATACCTTGTTATAAACCTTAGCCAGGTGTACCTACCTAACACATTGCTCAAGATATATATATACATTTACACATCATACCCAGGTATATTCCTAAACCAGATAATATTATAAACTAGTGGAATCTTTAATTTAGCTAATATTAAAGAAACCCCGAGTATAATATTAAGTGGACAACACATAAAAATTAATCTCATTATGACCTTGGTCATAACAGTGAGTGAACATTATCCTGCGAGGTCATAGGAAACATTTCGTAATAATTCATTATTTTTTGCACTTGTTTATTCTGTGTGACTGCTAAATAAGCCACCATGGGCCCAAAGAAAGCTGCTAGTGCCAGTCCTTTGGTAAAGAAGGTGAGAAACATGATAGAATTAAAAAAAAAGATTGTAGAAAAATACGAAAGTGGTGGTGGTAGAGGGTGGTAGTGATAGTGGTAGACGGTGGTAGTGATTGTGGTAGAAGGCAGTAGTGGTTGTGATGGTGGTAGAGGGTGGTAGTGATGGTGGTAGAGGATGGTAGTGGTTGTGATGGTGGTAGAGGATGGTAGTGGTTGTGATGGTGGTAGTGATGGTGGTAGAGGATGGTAGTGGTTGTGATGGTGGTAGAGGGTGGTAGTGGTAGTGATGGTGGTAGAGGGTGGTAGTGGTTGTGATGGTGGTAGAGGGTAGTAGTGATGGTGGTAGAGGGTGGTAGTGGTTGTGGTAGAGGGTAGAGCTGCAAGAGCTTTCTGGACAGTTTTTTTGTGCGACAAGTGCCCAGTGACTTCTAAGCTGGTCCTAGTGCCATTGAAAAGCAAATAAGGGAAGTAACCAAGAATAAGGACTTGGTACCTGAAATCTTTATGGAAGGGGATTCCCCTCCCAAACAATACTCAGTCCTCCCTCTCCCCTCCTCTCTGTCTTCCATACACTAACAAGAGTCTTCAGTAAAGGTAAGTGTGATGTTAAATGTTCATTTATACATGTTATTAGTGCTTTATAATATATTTGTCATTCTTTTCTGTATGTAAATCTATATTTAACCCCTTGACTGTCGCAACCCCCAATCCTGAGGTGTCTCCTGGTGTCGCAAAATTTCAAAAAAAAAAAAAAAAATTCTTCTTCTTATGAAATGATAGAGAATCTTTTCCCGATTGTAATGACAATAAAAAAAACAAAATTTGATAGAAAACTGACGGAATTAAGCTCTCGCAAAGTTATTGACCTCGGCGATATTTACAAATCGGCGATTTTGCCCACTTTGAGCCCTGTTTCCATTGTTCCAGTTAACCAAATGCATAGCTATTTCTTTAGAACTCCATTTTTTTCTATCGATTGAGTACAAGAAACTGCCCATTTACTGGTTTCAACTACCCAATAATGTGGTCAGAAATTTGCAATTTGGCCAATTTTGCGACAATTAAAAAATATGATGATTTCAAAATAAGGTTCAGAATGAACAATGCAGACATTCCTGGCTCTAAAATAACATTTTCTTTGTTCATCAGTCATGTCTCAAGGCCCCTTTGATATTACTCTTGCTTTCTATTTTGAATTTTTATTCAAACAAAAAATAGAAGATTTACTGTTATGCAGACTACTGCAATATTGTAATAATTGTACAAATAATGTCAACCCATTCATGACTGCATATTAGAATGGCTAGTTGAACATTTATTGGACAATGACATCACTTGTTTACTTTTGAACATCGGCAAAAATCAAGCATTTTTCCTACTTTGAGCTCCATTTCCAGGTTCTTTTTATAGTAAAACCAAACAAAATCACCTCTATTTCTATAATATGTTTTTCATTCTATCAAATGAGACTAAGAAAACGAGAATACAACCATAAATACTATATGAAAATAGACCACAAAGTTGGCATTTTAATTAAAGAAAACGGTCAGTTTTTTTTTCTCATTGTGCACTGCGTGCTCCAGGATTTTTTTATATGGTGCACACTGACCACACAAACTCATTCTCTCACATGTGGGCCTACCAGCTTTCTCCTGCTTGATTTGAAGCCGCTAGAATTTATGAATATATATACGCCAAACACGGTACCTCATAAGACGTATATATACGACCAAAACAGTCGTTAATACTTTTGGGAGTCTGGAATGGATTAATTGGATTTACATTCTTTCTTACAGGGAAAATGGTTTTAGTTTTCATCAATTTTGCATTTTATCAGACTCTCTGGAATGGATGAATGACAAAAAGGGAGAGTCCACTGTATTTTTACCTTGGCTATGACTGCCAACATGTGTGTAGTTTCTTATATATTTGCATTGTAATTATACTCATTTTTTGCTACTGTACAAACAGGGACAGCCAGTGAAGGGAGACAGACAAACATTTTTTACCTTGTCTAGGGACTGAAGTCACAACCAAAGGGTTTTGAGTTCAATCTTCTGGTTTACCTGGAGTTTACCTGGAGAGGGTTTCAGGGGTCAATGCCCCCATGGCTCGGTCTGAGACCAGGCCTCATGGTGGATCAGGGTCTGATCAACCAGGCTGATACTGCTGGCCGCACGCAAGCTGACGTACGAACCACAGCTCGGTTGGTCAGGTACTGACTTTAGGTTCCTGTCCAGTACCTTCCTGAAGACACCCAGGGGTCTATTGGTAATCCCCCTTATGTATGCTGGGAGGCAATTGAACAGTCTTGGGCCCCGGACACTTACTGTGTTGCCTCTAAGTGTACTCGTGGCACCCCTGCTTTTTATCGGAGGAATGTTGCATCTCCTGCCGAGTCTTTTGCTTTCACATGGAGTGATTTTCATGTGCAGGTTTGGTACCAATCCCTTCAGGACCTTCCAAGTGTATATTATCACACATCTCTCTCACCTGCATTCAAGGGAATACAGATCAAGGACCTTCAACCATTCCCAGTAGTTTAGGTGCCTTATCGCACTTATGTGTGCCATCAAAGTTCTTTGTACACTCTCCAGGTCTGCAATGTTGCCAGCCTTGAAGGGGGCCATTAGTGTACAGCAGTATTCCAGCCTAGAGAGCACAAGCAATTTGAAGAGAATCATCATGGGCTTGGTGTCCCTAGTTTTGAAGGTTCTCATTATCCATCCTATCATTTTCCTAGCGGATGAGGTAGATACATTGTTGTGGTCTTTGAGGGCGAGATTCTCTGACATTATCACTCCCAGGTCCTTCACATTACTTTTCCGCTCTATTATATGGTTAGAATTTGTGGTATACCCTGACACATTTTTAATTTCTTCAAGTTTTCCATATCTGAGAAGTTGAAATTTCTCCTCATTGAACTTCATATTGTTTTGAGTGGCCAATTCGAAGATTTGGAGGATAAGGAATAGAATGGGAGTGAGTACTGTGCCTTGTGGAACAGAGCTTTTTACCATGGTTGCCTGGGACCTTTACTCTGTTTACTATTACTCTGTGTTCTATTTGTCAGGAAGTTGTAGATCCATCTACCAACTTTTCCTGTTATTCCTTTATCCTGCATTTTGTGTGCTATTACACCATGGTCACACTTGTCAAAAGCTTTTGCAAAGTCTGTGTATGTGTATGGTGAGGCAAGATAAACTATATGAGCAAGTACCTGCTACCTATGCTTACCTCACAGTACAGAAAATATTGATGCAAATGCTGACTTTTACAATGACTACTATATGTCTCGGGGGGGAAAAACAGTAAAAATCTATTTCATAATGGCTGTGATGTGAAGGAAATTCTGAAAGTTTGTATAAAACTTTTTTTTCCCATGATGCAATATACAGCAGTTGACTAACACCCAGATACCTATTTTTACTACTGTGTGAGCAAATGCAGCAGGTATAAGGATACTTACCTGGGAATTGAACTCACAACCACAAGATCCTGATATCAATCCCCTGGCAAAATGAGATGTATGTGTAAGTCTCCTTAAACCTATTGCTTCCATTCACCTTGCAGTAAATAGGTACCTAGATGTTAGCTGACTGCTTTGGGTTATGTGCAGAGAGAAAATTCCATACCTGTCAGAAATATTCAGAGATGTATACAGTCATCTATATAACCCTTAGTGACTAGTCAAAGAATGTCCCATACTTTTTTTTTTTAAGAACTGACACCAAAGCCATTTTTTTGGGGGGGGGGGATTTTCTGCACTTTTTTTGGCACTACATACTCTAGAAACTGACATCTTAATAGATTTAACCCATGTCTAGTTCTTAAGTAGTCTTTAAGCACTAGAATCAGTCTGCCCGAAATGCACCGCATGCTGGTGGCTTTCATTTTTTTATATTGGCTCTTTGAAGTGACGTCTAAACTGTTGTATCTGGGCACCTCTGAAAAGACAATGATTATGTGTGAATGATGGTGAAAGTGTTTCTTTTTTTGGGGTCACCCTGCCTCAGTGGGAGACAGCTGACATGTTGAAAAATAAATGTAACCTACATTACCTGTATACTGCAGAAAAAAATAAATTATTTGTATAAACTATTCTTGTAACAGTGCATTTGATTTTGTAGAGAAATATCAGATAATAGCCTGAAGGAAGCAGATACTAATTAAATGTCGGAATATTTGTACAGGAGAAATTGTGGCCGAGTTTGCTCAGCAAGACCAAGAGTACACAGTAGACTACAGTGTCCCTATCAGAGTGACGGCAACATGTAGAGCACAACAAAGCAGGAAGCACCTTGCATCTCCTCAAGCCTCTCCTACACATTCTCATAAGTCTCCAGAAGCACAACCCTCAACTCGTTTTATTTACACAAATCATAAGGGAGTCCTGAGAAACTATCATGAGGGGAAAACCGTGGAAGGTGTGAAGAATCCTGGAGTCGCTGAAAAATCACAAGTGGATTTAGATTTTGTATCGGACAATGAGAGACCAGTGCCAAAACCTAGGTAAGTAAACATATTTTTGATAGATTAGACACATGTGAAGCATTTGGGTATCTTTATTATGGGAACATTTTACCACATAGTGGTTTCCTCAGTCCAAAACAGGGAAGAATGGCTGAAGATGAGAAGGAGTTGGAGGTAATCAGTCCCTCAGCCTGGAGTACTGAGAGACAGATTACCTCAAACTCCTTCTGATCTAAAACCATTCTTCTGTGTTTTGGACTGATGAAGCTACTATGTGGCAAAATGTTCCCACAGTAAAGATACCTAAGTGTTGCACTTGTGTATAATTTATCAACTTGTCGGTTCTCTGAACCATTAATCTACAAACATTCTTTTGCTGCTTATGACACCAAATACTATTAGTTATTGAGAAAACGTTACTATTCTAAGCTGTACTATGAATCATTGTGTTTAGTGTTGACCTCATACATATGCATTTTTTTATATGTGATGTGAACAGTGATTGTTGGCTTACACATTGCTAGAAATTAATCAAGTGCTATGTATACTTGCTACCAGGGTTAACAGATGGATGTAAAGTCACATATCAGATGACAAATTTGTACAGTATTTACAAATTTAGTTTTACAATCACCTAAGAGACTGTATATAAACACCACTCAATTTGTCATTACCTTATTATTCTTAAGATAGTCTTAAGTTTCCTAGGTAGTTGGTTGGTAGACAGCAACCACCCAGGGAGGTACTACTGTTATGCCAAATGAGTGTGAAATGGAAGCCTCTAATTGTTTTACATGATGGTAGGATTGCTGGTGTCTTTTTTTCTTTCTCGTAAGCATGCAAGATTTCAGGTACGTCTTGCTACTTCGACTTACATTTAGGTCATGCTACACATGTATGTACAAGCATATATATATATATATACACCCTTCTGGGTTTTCTTCTATTTTTCTTACTAGTTCTTGTTCTTGTTTATTTCAACTTATCTCCATGGGGAAGTGGAACATAATTCTTCCTCCATAAGCCATGTGTGTTGTAAGAGGCGACTAAAATGCCGGGAGCAAGGATTTAGTAACCCCTTCTTCTGTATATATTACTAAATTTAAAAGGAGAAACTTTTTTTTTGGGGGGGGGGCCACCCTGCCTTGGTGGGATAAGATCAGTTTGTTAAAAGAAGAAGGAAGTCTTGAGTTTGCCAGAAATGCTCTATATATTAAGAGGCTTTCTATATACACACTTAAACATCATTCACCTCTGTACAAACATTGTATTATGCTGAAATAAAGTGTCTTATCTTAAATGTTCCTGTATGTAAGATTCCCAGCCCTCCCTCTCTACAGCAAGTACAGTATTACCTTCTATCCATATGATAGTTATTTTTAGGTCTAAGCTTTTCATCAGTTGTATACCTGTTTTAACAAAATTGAAATTGGTAGCAAATAGAACATTTTAGGCAACAAGATTGCTTCCCAATTTATTACAAATGCCAGTTTACGCCATGGGATATTTTGTGGCAAATATTTCTTGATTAATTATTATTCATTGTATATCCATTTTCCATATAATTTATTACATTAAGAATACGTACTGTTATCACAGATTTTCTTTTAATTTACAGGAAACTTTCATTAGCTACAAAATCTTCTACCAATACTTCTGCTAACTCCTCAGTGCAGCTTCTGCTGTCTCCAGCAGAGGATTTGACAATTCTAAGTCCTCCCTTAGAGGTTCCTGATCCATCTAACACGTCCAGTAAAAGTGAAACAGTGTGGTTTGTGGAAACTCCAGAGGACTGTGTAGTAATGCAGGGTAGAACACTCCGACTCGCTTGTCAAGTTAATACCAAGAAACCCATGGGTAAGATTCTGTGCCATTTAAAATGATTTCTGAAACTCTGTTTTTAACTGAACCATCCTTTTTAAGACTATTTTCAAATTACCATTTATTATAATGTTCTTTGCACAGCATGGAATAATTCTCTTCTCTTTCAACAAACCAGCTATATTCCACTGAATGGAATAGATTTTTTTTTTTTTTTTTTTTTCAACAAGTCGGCCGTCTCCCACCGAGGCAGGGTGACCCAAAAAAGAAAGAAAATCCCCAAAAAGAAAATACTTTCATCATCATTCAACACTTTCACCACACTCGCACATTATCACTGTTTTTGCAGAGGTGCTCAGAATACAACAGTCTAGAAGCATAAACATATAAAGATACACAACATATCCCTCCAAACTGCCAATATCCCAAACCCCTCCTTTAAAGTGCAGGCATTGTACTTCCCATTTCCAGGACTCAAGTCCGACTATATGAAAATAACCGGTTTCCCTGAATCCCTTCACTAAATATTACCCTGCTCACACTCCAACAGATCGTCAGGTCCCAAGTACCATTCGTCTCCATTCACTCCTATCTAACACGCTCACGCACGCTTGCTGGAAGTCCAAGCTAAATATTTTTGTAAGTTATATTGTAGGTAATAATATTTTTGTTTTGTTTTTAACACATCATCCATTTCCCACTGAGGCAGGGTGACCCAAAAAAGAAGAAACACTTTCATCATCACTCATTCCATCCTTGTCTTGCCAGAGGCATGCTTATGCTACAGGTCCTATTAATGAATTTAATCCTCAGGTGTGAGCTGGTACCACAATGGTTCCTTGGTGGCTGTGGGTGGTCGTGACCAGTGGGTGTACCGCCAGGGGCCCTTCTATCATTTACATGTTTACGGAATGACATCTGTGGCAGCTGGGCTGTATGCTACTGCTGCGTACACTGCCACCAATTGTGTGTGGGCATTTTGTAGAGTACAATACAAAGGTATGGAGCAAAAGAGGTTTTGGAGTACCAAAAAAATAAGTTTTTACTGTATGTACTTTATTTTGCTTTTGAAAATTTAAATGTGCATGCATGTAATGTAGGTACAAAGAAAAGAATGTTTTTCATTATTATGAATGAAATAACACTCGATGTGTTGGCATAGATTAAAAAAATATTTACAAAGGTCAGGAAAGGGCAGATAGGAAGATGTAACAGGAATGAAGTTAGCTGTGTTTGAGAGTAAGAGCCAAGGGTATGGTGATACTTTTAAATGAAAAACGTGAAAAACTAAAAAGAGATGGGATACGAATGTGTTAATTTGAGAATTGTATGTATGAGAATGTAGAATGATGTGAGTTTTGGTGTAAGAGGAATGCAGGATAAATTCTGGGAAATACCAAGTGAATGTTTAAGGAAACAGGATTTAGAGCATCACATAGCAGCTACTACTATTACTACAAGTATGTACTACCACTACTACTACTGCTATAAGTACTACTACAAGTACTACCAGTACTAAGACACTATTCAGTGCCAACAATAACATAACAGTATTCAATTATAATGTCAGATCATTAAGTAAACATTATGATGACCTCCTAACACTACTAAATTGTCTAAATGTCAATATGTCTATCACTACTCTCACTGAAACCTGGCTAAAACATGATGTTACAAAAATCAATACCATACCTGGCTACATGGCCATACACAATTGTAGGCCAGATCAATTAGGAGGTGGCACAGCTATATACTACTCTGATGAACTTGAAAGGTATTAAATCTACTTGCACAAGGGATAAATATGGTGAATATACATTTGCTAAATTTAAATCCAAAAACCTAAAAAAAACTTTAACAGTTGGAGGAATATACAGAGTGCATCACTCCAATATTTTCTCATTTAGCATCAACCTTAGAAACATGATAACTGACACAAAGATGAATAAACACCACGTGATACTTACAGGTGACTTCAACATAAATCTCATTCATGACCATGACCCACAAGTAACTGAATTCACAAACACTATGAGCAACTGCTTACTTCTGCCATCTATAACTAAGCCAACAAGAATCTCCAGGACAAGTGCCTCATTACTACATCACATCTGGACAAGCACTACAGCCCCATTAAAAGCAGGCATAATTACAGATAACACCACTGACCACTATCCCACCTTTCTCATAACCAACTTATGTAAATTGCACCAGGACACAAGTAAGATCACATTCCAGCTACATGTCAAGTCATCTGTTAATAACTTTATTTCAGCATTAAGTAGCATTGACTGGCAAAGTGAGCAAGCAGTCAATCTCGATATTAAAGAATGCTTCAAAATTTTCTTACAAAAAACCCAAAACCTCTATAACAGGCATTGTCTAATAAAAACAAAGCAGATCACAGCAAAGAGACTAAACAGCCCCTGGCTTACAAACAGCATCCTCAAATCCATTGATAAAAAACATTTATATGAAAAACAGTACAGACTGGGTCTAAGAACAAAGATACGACAAAACGTTACTTATCAATACTTACTACTCTAATAAGGAGGTCTAAAAAACTGTATTATGAAAATAGATTTTATGACATAAAAGGGAATATGAAAAAGGCCTGGAAAACCCTATCTGAAATTCTAGGATCTAAAAATCTGTATCGAAACAGAGTGACTGACTTAATGAAACCACGAGAACCTCACCTCCAGCCAACAGATACTGCCAACAAATTTAATGTCTTTTTCTCAACAGTAGGAACAAAGCTAGCAAACAAAATTCCAACTGTAAACACTCAGCCAAAAGACTACCTCACTGATAACTACCCAAATACTCTATTTCTATCCCAACAAGCCCTACAGAAATCTCACTTATCATCAAAACACTAAAGAACAAGACAGGAGATCTAAATAACTTACCACAACTCATGTACAAAAAAGCTTCTCATGTGTTGTCTCCAATTATTTCAACTCTTTTTAAAAAATCTATTTAATCTTCTACTTTCCCATCCATACTCAAGATAGCAAGAGTTACTCCAATCCTCAAAGGAGGTGATCCAACTGAATTGAATAGCTATAGGCCTATATCAAACTTGCTCCTACTATCTAAAATCTTTGAAAAATTAATTCACAAACAAGTCTACTCCTACTTAGTATCCCACAACATACTTAACCCATGTCAGTTTGGATTTAGACCGAAAAAAAGTACTAATGATGCAATTATACACATGCTTGAACTTCTATATACGGCACTCGAAAAAACAAAATTTCCCTGGGACTTTTCATAAACCTACAAAAAGCATTTGATGCAGTTGACCATGACCTATTACACCTAAAACTTGAACATTATGGGGTCAGAGGACATTCTCTCCATTACTTAAAATCTTATCTTAACAATAGAAACCAGTATGTATACACAAATGGAGCTAACTCTGCTACACAACCAGTTCTTGTTGGAGTCCTTGGCCCAGTTCTCTTTCTCATTAGATCAGTGACCTCCCAAATACATCTAAACTCCTTAAACCCATTTTATTTGCAGATGACACTACTTATGTCTTCTCTCACCCAAACCCAACTATACTAACAGACACTGTTAACAACAAACTACAGGTTGGCCATCACTAATCTGGCAATCAGTTATCCGGTTCCATCAGTAATCTGGCACTAATTTCGGCTAGCATAATTTCAAATTTCATCATTATACTGACTCAAATTTCATCATTATACTGACTCAGAAATTGTGCAGATGGTTGTAAATCCTCAGCATCAAGCCAGTAGAGAAAAAAGCAGTGATGAAAATGAGGAAGATGTAGCAGAGTCTCTATGGATAGGTTAATTAAGTGTATCCTAATCTAACCACTCTGTAAAATGGCAAACTCACTAATCCAGCACACTACAGGTCCCAGTGATACCGAATTAGTGATGACTGACCTGTACTAAAAATATCTACTTGGATGCCTACCAACAAACTTACTCTTAATATACTTCATGCTGTTTGGAAACAGAACTTCTAATGCTCAGCTTAACATGTATTATTTGAAACAGCTTGACAAGGCTCCTGGAGAGCGAAATGTTGCCAAGTAAGCTGTCGTATTAGTTGCACATGTGTCCTGTTACCCAACAGAGCAGATTATTATTATAATCAAAACCAGTTGCTAAACCCACTAAGGTCATACAGCTAACTGAGTAGAGGATGTATAGATCTAGTATTCTCATTAAATCATGCAGTAAGTATGCAACGTTTAAGCAACTTTATGCTGTTTCTCTCAGTGTGGGTATCTGACTGTGGTTGTTTGTACAAGGTGAGTAACTGAACAAAAATGCTTCCTGCCTATGACCCAGTGTATGTTTTGCTAATGGCCCAATGTGCTCTGCTCATGCCCCCGACATTCTCTTTGCCTGTGGTCTAGCAAACTTGTTGTCTGTGACCCAGTAGGCCTCTTGTGGCTTAGGTATGGAAACCTGAATCCCAGTATGCAAAGTTGCAGGGTAAGAGTTCTGTTTTCCAAATTTTTGACAAATATGACTGCTGTGTATATGAAGCACTGTCTTTTCTTTCGACACACCGGCCGTATCCCACTGAGGTGTGGATGAAGCATTGTCATTGAACTATAATACAGTATTTCCACTAATTTATTTCTTTTGTTTACCTCAGCAAATTCAAGACCTCAAAAACGTCCCACATTCACCAAGGGTTTGTCAGATGTGATTCTCGAAGAGGGAGGAGACCTGTATTTACAGTGCCAAGTACAAGGCCACCCAGAACCACGAGTTATCTTTTCCAGAGGCTTAGAGAGGCTAGAACCTTCTTCCAGACTTGCAATAGGTAAGTAATACAGTTTTATTATTTTTATTTTTAACACACCAGCCATCTCTCATCAAAGTAGGATGACCCAAAAATGAAAAACACATTCGCCATCATTCATTTAATCATCGTTTTTTCCAAAAGTGTGCTGTTATCACAGTTAGGAAGACCCTCTGAACTACAACTTCCTCATTCTGCCTTCACTTCTCACCTCCAGGACTCAAGCTCAGCTAACTGGTTTCCCCTGAATTCCTTCATGTATACAGTGGACCCCCGGTTAACGAACTTTTTTCATTCCAGTAGTATGTTCAGGTGCCAGTACTGACCGAATTTTTTCCCATAAGGAATATTGTGAAGTAGATTAGTCCATTTCAGACCCCCAAACATACACGTACAAACGCACTTACATAAATACACTTACATAATTGGTCGCATTTGGAGGTGATCGTTAAGCGGGGGTCCACTGTATTATCTTTTTACACTTCTCCAGTACATACCTTTACTCACTCCGGTGTAATGTGCTCACACGTGCATGTTGGATGTTCAGGTCCCTAACACTCAACCCATCTTATGCTCTTTCCCTCCAATCCTTCCTTTCTTCCACTACAGACTTATATACAGTACCCTTTTAGTCATTGTATTTTGCACTATCCTCTTTAAATCCCAAACTTCCCTCAACAACTCCTCAGTCCTCTGAATTATACTTTTAGTAACCCACATCATCTTCTAATCTCCACATTCCTAATTTTCTGCATGGTGTTTTTTTTTTTTTTTAACACATTCACTGCATCTCACCAAGGCAGGGTGACCTAAAAAGAGCATGAAACATTTTCTTTTTAAATTTAGTAATTTATACAGGAAAGGGGTTACTAGCCCCTTGCTCCCAGCATTTTAGTCACCTCTTACTACAAGCACGGCATATGGAGGAAGAATTCGTTTCCACTTCCCCAAGGGGAATATTGTTATTATTATTATAATAACCAAAAATTCTACACATATGTATTTAGTGCTATATATAAATAAAACTGCCAGTTTTTTAATTTTTGGAAATCTAGATCTTTAATCTTTGAATGATACACACTTCGATACAGGTGCCTTGAGGCTAGTGAAGGATCCTTGATCCAAGGAATTGGAACTACACTTATCTTTGGATCAAGCTTGTTCCTCTCTTATTTCCCAGGCAGTGAATGACCCTTATGAGTTTAGCACTTCCTCATGATTATGGTTATGAATAATAGCATAATAGCTTCACTCAGCCTGTCACCTTGCAGAGAGTGATCAGTATGGCACGTGGACATTGCGTCTGGCAGAATGTTCAGCTTCAGACAGTGGAGAAATCACTGCGACTGCTGCCAGCATGCTGAGTGCAGTAAATACCCACTGTCGGGTAAAGGTCGTGCCAGAGGGCACTCCCATTCCCCAGCAAGTCCACACTAATTCTGCGAGACTACAGCCATCAGCTTTACAAACAAATAAGCAGGTTTGCAATCCACAATTTGTAATTTAATTTAGGTAGCATGCAATGGCTGTTCAGTACAGGTAAATGTTGTGCATTTACAAAAAATACAGTAGTATGGAGGTTTCTGAAAGCTGTGAATGTTGTACCTGTAACTAGCTGGGAAATATTACGTCAGAGTGTAAGTTTGCAATCAGCTTGTTTTTCTTCTTGACACAGTCCCATGTCCAGTATTTCTTTTATACTGATAAGACGTATATCATTCAGTCTTTTATTTATAATATTTACATGTTTTTGTAATGCATTGGCCGTCTTCGACTGAGGCAGGGTAACCTAAAAATAAAAAAAAAAGTTTTTTTTTTTTTTTTCAACAAACCGGCCGTATCCCACCAAGGCAGGGTGGCCCAAAAAGAAAAACAAAAGTTTCTCTTTTTAAATTTAGTAATTTATACAGGAGAAGGGGTTACTAGCCCCTTACTCTTGATATTTGCATGTACGTATCATGTTCAGATTTTTTCTTACTAATTGCATACAGTACTGTACCATTAAGTGTTCAATAACCAAGAGCAGTATTCAATATTTTTATTACATTTTCTTGTATAGTAAATCTTCAGAATTGATATATAAATTTCATGAAAATTTTTACAAGATGCATAATGGGCAAGCAGTACATTGAGAAAATTAAAAAAAAAGAAAAGTGTGAAATGAGAGAGTTAAAATAAATGTTAAGAAACAAGTGTGATGGAGTTGTTGGATTTCAGAAGGTAGAGTGAAAATGAAAATGAAAATGTTTATTTCCTTGCAAAGCTTACATTGTGTGGTTTACATATTATAAAATATTAATTACAAATAAAGCCACTAGTATGCCTAGGCATTTCAAGCAGACAGATCCTAATGCTGCCATGATGTCCATGGCAGCTGACTCCCTTAAAATGATAGGAAGACTGCATTATTTACTCTTGGGAATACATGTATTGTCTTAAATAAACTTATAGTATAACACAGTAGTATTAATGAGAGTGGAAGATGCTTGGTAATTCATTAGATGGGTAATTCAATAATAGTCTCTTCCCTTTGGTAACAGTTTTATATGAGTGTGTGTATATACACACTTGACTTGCAGGTGTATCGTTTGTCAGAGGCATGCTGGTTATTTGCAGCCTCTTCAAAGAATCATTTTAATTATTGGTGTATACAGGTATCTTAGTTGATGCCTTGTTTTTTGACTTCATATTTACTGTACATCCATGATGCAAATTGTTAACCTCAGCATTAGGGAGTCCTATTCACATCTCTGTAAGCCAAAGTAAGAAGCACTTCCATGTTACTAATTTTTTTTTTTTTTTCAACAAGTCAGCCGTCTCCCACCAAGGCAGGGTTACCCAAAAAAGAAAGAAAATCCCCAAAAAGAAAATACTTTCATCATCATTCAACACTTTCACCACACTCACACATTATCACTGTTTTTGCAGAGGTGCTCAGAATACAACAGTTTAGAAGCATATACGTATAAAGATACACAACATATCCCTCCAAACTGCCAATATCCCAAACCCCTCCTTTAAAGTGCAGGCATTGTACTTCCCATTTCCAGGACTCAAGTCCGATTATATGAAAATAACCGGTTTCCCTGAATCCCTTCACTAAATATTTCCAGAAACTATGCAAGAATTATTCTGGTTTGGGCCATCTACATGAGGATAATGTTACTTTAATATTGTTTAAGATGAGTTGGAATGAAAGGACTGTGAAAGAAAGAAACAGTATTAAAGCCAAGCTAAGGAGTCTCTTGATATGTAATAAAAATGTATGTACTAGGAATATTGAGTAAACCCAGTTGATGGGGCAGGAAATTTATAATTGGTATTGAGGACTAATAAAAACATTAAGTTTCACCTCTCAAAACTATCATAAAAAAAGATGAGGCCACAAAAAATTGTCTGTGACTGTAAGTTGGCTTAGCATAATTTTACCTCTTGACTAACCTACATATTTACTGAAAATTTTGGAAATGTCATTCTCTTTTTTCTGAAAACAAATTAAGCAACATTACATGTGTGGAAGTGGCATTATGTGTAGGTGCAAGGAACCCATAACCCTATAATTTCAATGGGTCCTGGAACTGTATACAGTACTGGGAATTATCTGGTAGTTACTGCATTTTAGGTATGGTAAATTTTTCCACACCTTTGTTAGCATATATCTACAAGATATATTTATGCTGAGTAATTGGCTTGGTTACCCATTTAAACATTATTTGATTCTGTCAGATGCTGAGTCATCACAAATAGTGTATGGTAATCTGCCTAGCAGATTCCATATATACATAGTATTGTATTTAGTATGACTTCATTGTTTGTAGTACAGTGCATTACTGTAATAGAAGTAATAGAAGAAACTTTTAATTACAATTAACTTTTTATATGAATTTTCTTTGCAGAGTATTAGATATTTTCCCCTTAAAATTTTGGTTTATTAGAGTAATAAAGGGAGTGAGTGGCCAGTACTGGCTGTTGTTGAGAAGAGTAATGAGATTATTCTGTTGGCTTAATAATAACAGACAGTTCTATAAACAGTGGACTTGGACCATTGTTTACAGAACAGTTGACTCTGTGGATTTTGTCATGTATTTCCAAAATTTGTTAGATCAAGGATTACTAACAACAATTTTTTTTTAATTTTCTCTAGACACATTCCAGATAGCTATGGAATTCTTACAGTATGTGGCAGTCATAACCCAGAAAGTTTGCTTAAGTACAGTCTGTTCCAACTTATACAGCAGGTTAGGTTCCAGGCTACTGCTGTACAGGAGGGCCCCGCTTATACGGCAGGTTAGGTTTCGGGTTACTGCTGTACATAATTCTAATGATTTAACAGGCAAGCTAGCAGGTTTACTCAAGTAAATGGAATAATTTGAGTGGTAAATGTTCTTGGTACTGTTCTAACCAGCAGACAAAATCACAATTATGCCTTCATTACTCTGTTCTTGACTGGCATCTTTGCTGTGTAGGGGAATACAGATGGCAGTTCCCGCTCGTTCTCCGAAATTCTGCGGAGATGCTTCTTTTGCTGTTGTGGCCGACCACGAGTAGACGACTCAACCCCGCTCCTTCTCCAGTCTTGAGGCACACATTTGTAATGGACATTTCCATCACTGATTAAATTTATGTAATGGCTACCACCATATTGTTTAAACTCAAAATACTATTTACTTACTTGCCATAGTTATTTTTTCTTATACAATAGCATTTTGGTATGCATGTATGTACTATTTACCTGCATAGGTTTGTCATTTATAATATAGAATATGCTGTATGGTAATGATAATTAGTTTGCAGGTTCTTATGTTGTGGCTGCCTCATGATGATTTAGCATGTTATTTTTTTATTTTTAACCAAATAAATCTTTTTTATATTTATATCTACTTCTGTTCAGGAAATATATTTTTGCTGAGTTCTATTTTACAGTTCGTATTCATTGATTAAGCATTCAAAATAAACGTTTCACTTATCTGTATACAGTGTTTTGTTTGTTTTGCATGATTGTATTTGCCATGGCTTACACCTCTAAATATGAGTTTGTGTTAACACCTGCAGCTTTGTGCTGAAACTTTATAATGAACAAATGTAACAACTCACTGGAGTGATAGGGATTCAAACCATCAGTAAGGGATTACCAGCCAGTCACCTTAATCCATTGCACTATAGAGGGTAATAAAGTTTTCCTTGCCAGAATCCTGGGTGTGTTGGTAATGACCGCTAACTGGGACCTGATCAATTTTTTTTATGGAGAATGTTACCCTCTTGGGATGAAATGGACTTAGACGATAGGATGGTGATCCCAGACCTCTAGTTCAGATCCTGATAACTTATCTGAATACTTTCAGCTTTATTAATTTTTTGAAACATGTTGCTTGAATACAGTAGACTCTCGCATAACATGGTGGTTATGTTCCTGACAACTGTATTTTAGATATTTGTGTTATGTGAAGTGATGAGCATATAGGAAAAATAAGGTTACGTTCTAGAGACCTCTGTAAAAAGCATACGCGCTTACCTATAAAAATGTTTTCTTACATTAAATTCTGATTGGTAGTATTTGTTGGTCTTCATATGAGTGTTGAGGGTCGGTGTGGACCTACTGAGTTGAAGTGGATGGCTGTGGTTCTTACAGTGTAAAGTATCATGTGTAGAGTCATGAACCACCATGAAATTTATTAAAATTATCACTTTCTTTAATTCTGTCAGATTAATTTTTGGGACCTCTAGCACCACTAGTAGTCCTCGGTGCCACGATTAATATTCAGAGACAAAATAAAGTGCTAAAAATATCCACAGTCAGCATCAATGTGATAGTCTGTTGTATTCAGAAATAATGAATTTTGCAAATAATAAAATTAAACTTAGAATTTATCATTAAATATGTTAAACTATTTTTTTTTTTTTTTTTTTTGCTTGATGTTAACAATTTATTTTAATTACTAACCTTTGATGTGGTGTTTTTCCTGGCAGCAAGATCCCAGGCCAGGTGGCAGACATACCCACAAGAAACACAACCCTGGCTCACACCCACCCAACACCTCTCGGCCAACCTCTGACAACCTACTAATCTCCGCCAAAACATCCACTCCTTCACATCGAGAAAAACTAACAAAATCATCAGGTTTTAATACAGATACTGATGATCTGGATGATATTCATCAGGTGCCTACAAAACCAGGTATACCTGTAAATGATGTGTGTATCTCTATACATCTGCCTGCTGTAAATAATGAGGATATTGTTACTTACTGCTCAATAACCACAGATGTAGACAATGATCTGAGTTCTTCAGTGTTGCTAGATAATGGTGGAGCTTCTGAGTGTAAGCCTATGGTGCATGAGATCAATGAGCTTTCACATCGTGTAGAGGATCGTAATGTATTAGACAGTTCTACCAGTGGTAATGTCAGTACTGTTGCACATGGGGATTTGTCCACAAATACATATGCCAGCTTGAAAAATCTACAAGACGACTTTAGTAATTCCTCATCATTCTTCAAGGATTCTTATAACCCTAGCTTGACAAGGCTAATTTCTTCATCTGGCTCATCATTTATTGCAGCTAATCATAGTTTGGACTGTTATTCCTCTAGTCATGATGATGAGGATTCATCCTCTTCTAACAGACACACATTACCAGTACAAAAATTATCCAATCTTGAGTTCCTTTCTTCTTCATCTCCTGTAACTCAAAATCTAAAAGCTAGGGGAAAATTCTTGGTAAACTGCAATGCCTCATTGCCTCTAACTGCTGACCAGCCGCATGCCTTTAGCACCTTCATGGGCCATCACCAAGAGCATGGAGAACCCTCTGCTAAGCCTGCTTCTTCCTTCATTGCTACATCACCAACATTTTCAGGTAACTCCATGGATTTTTTTCTTTACATAAGGTGGTGCAGGAAGGCCCTGCTTACACAGCAGGTTAGGCTCTGGGCTACTGTTGTAAAGTGAGAATCGCCATAAAGTAAATCATAACCTTTATTCATTTTCATATGTATATAAAAGCTTGATAACATATTTACACTATCATACATTAAGTGTGCAATAGAACTAGGCCTAAAAAATGCATGTACAGTACACATTACTTACCTTAAAATACTTTTGTACATAGTTTATAGCGAGTGGTGAATATGTTTATGAAGAATGGGTGTATTTGAAAATTGCTGTATTAGCAAAATGCTGTAAAGTGAAATTTTGTAAAGCGGGTCTGCCTGTACTTGTAGTCATTTATTAGCTTTAGGAGAGTTATTAAATGGAGAGTTAGAGGTATTGGGAAGATGGAGGGAATATTTTGAGGAATTGTTAAATGTTGATGAAGATAGGGAAGCTGTCATTTCATGTATAGGGCAAGGAGGAATAACATCTTGTAGGAGTGAGGAAGAGCCAGTTGTGAGTGTGGGGGAAGTTCGTGAGGCAGTAGGTAAAATGAAAGGGGGTAAGGCAGCCGGGATTGATGGGATAAAGATAGAAATGTTAAAAGCAGGTGGGGATATAGTTTTGGAGTGGTTGGTGCAATTATTTAATAAATGTATGGAAGAGGGTAAGGTACCTAGGGATTGGCAGAGAGCATGCATAGTTCCTTTGTATAAAGGCAAAGGGGATAAAAGAGAGTGCAAAAATTATAGGGGGATAAGTCTGTGAGTATACCTGGTAAAGTGTATGGTAGAGTTATTAATTGAAAGAATTAAGAGTAAGACGGAGAATAGGATAGCAGATGAACAAGGAGGCTTTAGGAAAGGTAGGGGTGTGTGGACCAGGTGTTTACAGTGAAACATATAAGTGAACAGTATTTAGATAAGGCTAAAGAGGTCTTTGTGGCATTTATGGATTTGGAAAAGGCATATGACAGGGTGGATAGGGGGCAATGTGGCAGATGTTGCAGGTGTATGGTGTAGGAGGTAGGTTACTGAAAGCAGTGAAGAGTTTTTACGAGGATAGTGAGACTCAAGTTAGAGTATGTAGGAAAGAGGGAAATTTTTTCCCAGTAAAAGTAGGCCTTAGACAAGGATGTGTGATGTCACCGTGGTTGTTTAATATATTTATAGATGGGGTTGTAAGAGAAGTAAATGCGAGGGTCTTGGCAAGAGGCGTGGAGTTAAAAGATAAAGAATTACACACAAAGTGGGAGTTGTCACAGCTGCTCTTTGCTGATGACACTGTGCTCTTGGGAGATTCTGAAGAGAAGTTGCAGAGATTGGTGGATGAATTTGGTAGGGTGTGCAAAAGAAGAAAATTAAAGGTGAATACAGGAAAGAGTAAGGTTATGAGGATAACAAAAAGATTAGGTGATGAAAGATTGAATATCAGATTGGAGGGAGAGAGTATGGAGGAGGTGAATGTATTCAGATATTTGGGAGTGGACGTGTCAGCGGATGGGTCTATGAAAGATGAGGTGAATCATAGAATTGATGAGGGAAAAGAGTGAGTGGTGCACTTAGGAGTCTGTGGAGACAAAGAACTTTGTCCTTGGAGGCAAAGAGGGGAATGTATGAGAGTATAGTTTTACCAACGCTCTTATATGGGTGTGAAGCATGGGTGATGAATGTTGCAGCGAGGAGAAGGCTGGAGGCAGTGGAGATGTCATGTCTGAGGGCAATGTGTGGTGTGAATATAATGCAGAGAATTCGTAGTTTGGAAGTTAGGAGGAGGTGCGGGATTACCAAAACTGTTGTCCAGAGGGCTGAGGAAGGGTTGTTGAGGTGGTTCGGACATGTAGAGAGAATGGAGCGAAACAGAATGACTTCAAGAGTGTATCAGTCTGTAGTGGAAGGAAGGCGGGGTAGGGTCGGCCTAGGAAAGGTTGGAGAGAGGGGGTAAAGGAGGTTTTGTGTGCGAGGGGCTTGGACTTCCAGCAGGCATGCGTGAGCGTGTTTGATAGGAGTGAATGGAGACAAATGGTTTTTAATACTTGACGTGCTGTTGGAGTGTGAGCAAAGTAACATTTATGAAGGGGTTCAGGGAAACCGGCAGGCCGGACTTGAGTCCTGGAGATGGGAAGTACAGTGCCTGCACTCTGAAGGAGGGGTGTTAATGTTGCAGTTTAAAAACTGTAGTGTAAAGCACCCTTCTGGCAAGACAGTGATGGAGTGAATGATGGTGAAAGTTTTTCTTTTTCGGGCCACCCTGCCTTGGTGGGAATCGGCCAGTGTGATAATAAAAAAAAATAAATTTCCAAATTGCATTGGTTGAAAGATTTTCTAATGACCTTAATGCATTGTAACCTTAAGATTGTATAATTCTTAACTCTTAACCTATAGATGTATCAACCCACCTCCCTAATTTTTAGTTATATTTTCTTAGTAATTATAGTAATTAATTTTTAGTAATTATAGTGAGATATAAGCGACTATTGGCAGAAAGGTGGGCTAGTGCAAAGATGAGTAGTGGGGGGGTTGAAGAGGGTTGGAATAGTTTTAAAAATGCAGTATTAGAATGTGGGGCAGAAGTTTGTGGTTATAGGAGGGTGGGGGCAGGAGGAAAGAGGAGTGATTGGTGGAATGATGAAGTAAAGGGTGTGATAAAAGAGAAAAAGGTAGCTTATGAGAGGTTTTTACAAAGCAGAAGTGTTATAAGAAGAGCAGAGTATATGGAGAGTAAAAGAAAGGTAAAGAGAGTGGTGAGAGAGTGCAAAAGGAGAGCAGATGATAGAGTGGGAGAGGCACTGTCAAGAAATTTTAATGAAAATAAGAAAAAATTTTGGAGTGAGTTAAACAAGTTAAGAAAGCCTAGGGAAAGTATGGATTTGTCAGTTAAAAACAGAGTAGGGGAGTTAGTAGATGGGGAGATGGAGGTATTAGGTAGATGGCGAGAATATTTTGAGGAACTTTTAAATGTTAAGGAAGAAACAGAGGCAGTAATTTCATGCACTGGTCAGGGAGGTATACCATCTTTTAGGAGTGAAGAAGAGCAGAATGTAAGTGTGGGGGAGGTACATGAGGCATTATGTAAAATGAAAGGGGGTAAAGCAGCTGGAACTTATGGGATCATGACAGAAATGTTAAAAGCAGGGGGGGATATTGTGTTGGAGTGGTTGGTACTTTTGTTTAATAAATGTATGAAAAAGGGAAAGGTACCTAGGGATTGGCGGAGAGCATGTATAGTCCCTTTATATAAAGGGAAAGTGGACAAAAGAGACTGTAAAAATTATAGAGGAATAAGTTTACTGAGTATACCAGGAAAAGTGTACGGTAGGGTTATAACTGAAAGAATTAGAGGTAAGACAGAATGTAGGATTGCGGATGAGCAAGGAGGTTTCAGAGTGGGTAGGGGATGTGTAGATCAAGTGTTTACATTGAAGCATATATGTGAACAGTATTTAGATAAAGGTAGGGAAGTTTTTATTGCATTTATGGATTTAGAAAAGGCATATGATAGAGTGGATAGAGGAGCAATGTGGCAGATGTTGCAAGTATATGGAATAGATGGTAAGTTATTAAATGCTGTAAAGAGTTTTTTTATGAGGATAGTGAGGCTCAGGTTAGGGTGTGTAGAAGAGAGGGAGACTATTTTATTATTATCACACTGGCCGATTCCCACCAAGGCAGGGTGGCCCGAAAAAGAAAAACTTTCACCATCATTCACTCCATCACTGTCTTGCCAGGGAGGGTGCTTTACACTACAGTTTTTAAACTGCAACATTAACACCCTCCTTCAGAGTGCAGGCACTGTACTTCCCATCTCCAGGACTCAAGTCCGGCCTGCCGTTTCCTGAATCCCTTCATAAATGTTACTTTGCTCACACTCCAACAGCACGTCAAGTATTAAAAAACCATTTGTCTCCATTTACTCCTATCAACACGCTCACGCAATGCCTGCTGGAAGTCCAAGCCCCTCGCACACAAAACCTCCTTTACCCCTCCCTCCAACCCTTCCTAGGCCACCCTACCCCGCCTTCCTTCCACTACAGACTGATACACTCTTGAAGTCATTCTGTTTCGCTCCATTCTCTCTACATGTCCGAACCACCTCAACAACCCTTCCTCAGCCCTCTGGACAACAGTTTTTGGTAATCCCGCACCTCCTCCTAACTTCCAAACTACGAATTCTCTGCATTATATTCACACCACACATTGCCCTCAGACATGACAACTCCACTGCCTCCACCTTCTCCTCGCTGCAACATTCATCACCCACGCTTCCACACCCATATAGAGCGTTGGTAAAACTATACTCTCATACATTCCCCTCTTTGCCTCCAAGGACAAAGTTCTTTGTCTCCACAGACTCCTAAGTGCACCACTCACTCTTTTTCCCTCATCAATTCTATGATTCACCTCATCTTTCATAGACCCATCCGCTGACACGTCCACTCCCAAATATCTGAATACGTTCACCTCCTCCATACTCTCTCCCTCCAATCTGATATTTCAATCTTTCATCACCTAATCTTTTTGTTATCCTCATAACCTTACTCTTTCCTGTATTCACCTTTAATTTTCTTCTTTTGCACACCCTACCAAATTCATCCACCAATCTCTGCAGCTTCTCTTCAGAATCACCCAAGAGCACAGTGTCATCAGCAAAGAGCAGTAGGTCTTAGACAGGGATGTGTAATGTCACCATGGTTGTTTAATATATTTATAGATGGGGTTGTAAAGGAAGTAAACTAGGGTGTTCGGAGAGGGGTGGGATTTAAAAATTTTGGGGAATCAAATTCAAAATGGGAATTGACACAGTTTACTTTTTGCTGATGATACTGTGCTTATGGGAGATTCTAAAGAAAAATTGCAAAGGTTAGTGGATGAGTTTGAGAATGTGTGTAAAGGTAGAAAGTTGAAAGTGAACATAGAAAAGAGTAAGGTGATGAGGGTGTCAAATGATTTAGATAAAGAAAAAATTAGATATCAAATTGGGGAGGAGGAGTATGGAAGAAGTGAATGTTTTCAGATACTTGGGAGTTGACGTGTCGGCGGATGGATTTATGAAGGATGAGGTTAATCATAGAATTGATGAGGGAAAAAAAGGTGAGTGGTGCGTTGAGGTATATGTGGAGTCAAAAAAACGTTATCTATGGAGGCAAAGAAGGGAATGTATGAAAGTATAGTAGTACCAACACTCTTATATGGGTGTGAAGCTTGGGTGGTAAATGCAGCAGCGAGGAGACGGTTGGAGGCAGTGGAGATGTCCTGTTTTAAGGGCAATGTGTGGTGTAAGTATTATGCAGAAAATTCGGAGTGTGGAAATTAGGAGAAGGTGTGGAGTTAATAAAAGTATTAGAGGGCAGAAGAGGGGTTGTTGAGGTGGTTTGGTCATTTAGAGAGAATGGATCAAAGTAGAATGACATGGAAAGCATATAAATCTATAGGGGAAGGAAGGCGGGGTAGGGGTCGTCCTTGAAAGGATTGGAGAGAGGGGGTAAAGGAGGTTTTGTGGGCAAGGGGCTTGGACTTCCAGCAAGCATGCGTGAGCGTGTTAAATAGGAGTGAATGGAGACAAATGGTACTTGGGACCTGACGATCTGTTGGAGTGTGAGCAGGGTAATATTTAGTGAAGGGATTCAGGGAAACCGGTTATTTTCATATAGTCGGACTTGAGTCCTGGAAATGGGAAGTACAATGCCTGCACTTTAAAGGAGGGTTTTGGGATATTGGCAGTTTGGAGGGATATGTTATGTATCTTTATACGTATATGCTTCTAAACTGTGTATTCTGAGCTCCTCTGCAAAAACAGTGATAATGTGCGAGTGTGGTGAAAGTGTTGAATGATGATGAAAATATTTTCTTTTTGGGGATTTTTCTTTCTTTTTTTTTGGGGTCACCCTGCCTCGGTGGGAGACGGCCGACTTGTTGAAAAAAAAAAAAAATTATAGTAATATCACCTCTTCACTTATTTTTAAGGAAACTCAGACACATATAATGTAGAATAATGCAAGTGAGAGGATGCTGTAGTGGTGCTTGTGGGCCAGTATTTTAAATCAAAACCAGCTATAATTGTTTTAATATGCTCAAGGTATTTTCTGAACACTAGAGACCTCTCAAATTTCACTCTATTATGAGTTCCAGTAGAGCCATACTTATATGGTCGCTTGAGCTTTCTGATGGCTGCATATAATTCCAAGGAGCTTCCTTGTAAGCTTGTTTTTAATGAGAACTGTATATAAGCTCCATACTTGAAATTCCCAATCATCTAGGCTGTCTTACAAGAATAATGAAAGGATTTTGATGTCCCTACCCCCTTGAAAGGGTAAATTGGCTTATCTTTCATCTGTACACTTCAGTTATATCCTCTCTCACTCATTGCCTCTCAAAAGAGTGCTCTTATCTATATTCATAATATTTACAATACAGGACATTAACTTTCTCATCTTTCTCTGTTTCTCCAGTGCATTTATGTCCATTTTATAATATGGACACCAGAGTTATGTTGCAGGCTAAATTAAACCTTATAAGTGATATATTGAGTTAAAGTAAAGTAAAACATAACCTTGGGACTTCTGTTACTTATGTTTGACATAAACCCAAGCAGTTGTATTAGTTTTATTGTAGATGCTGTCTTCAAATTTCTGCTAACCAGAATGCATACTAGAATTTTTTTGGCATTAAGTTTGAATTCTGTATTATATAGACTATGCAGTTATTTTCTTTTCTAAGGATAAAGACCCCACACTTATCCATACTGACCTGCATTTTTTGAGCTTGACTACTGCATTAATGTATCCAAATAATTGTGAAACTCCCTTGCTTCTGCCTCAGAATTTTTTTATTGGCTTATTTTTGTGTTGTCAGCATTCTCTTTCTCTCTCTTTTTTTTTTTATTACAGCCATCTCTCACTGAGGTACAGTAGCCCAAAATAGGAAAGACATCTTCCATTATTCATTCAGCTGCTGTCTTGCCAAGAGTGCACAAATATAATTCAAATGACCCTTGTAATGCAACATCCCTGCTCCTCCTCTAGAGTGGAGACACTGCACTTTACACCTCCAGGACTCAAGTCTGGCTAACTGGTTTCCCTGAATCTCTTCATAAATTTTACCTTGCTCATATTCCAACAGCACACTAAGCCATAAAATCCACTTGCCTTCACTCTGATCTTACACCCTTACACAAGCCTGGTAGATGCTGAAGCCTCTAGCAATCAACACCTACTTTACCCCCCCTCCCTCTAACCCTTCTCTCCACCCTCCAATTTATACATCCTCTTGATTATTCTGTGCTGTTCTATTCTCTCAGTATCTAAGCTACCTTAACAACTTTTCCTCAGCTCTCTGAATCATTATTATTATTAAAATTAGAACCAAGTGCTAAACCCACTAGGGTTCTCTGAATCATACCTTGGGTAAAACTGTCTTGTGATTTATACTCTCTGAATTCTTAGCAAAATATTCACACTAACCGTCACCCTCAAATATGCCATTTTTACTGCCTCCAGTCTCCTCCTTGCCACAACTGTTTATTCCCTGAACTAGGTTATTAATATAAATTGCAATCAACAAGGGACCCAACAGTAGCTCCTGGAGGATGCAACTGGTGACTGGTCCCCATTCTCATTTTTCCACATATATTCAAACACTCATATTGCCTGCTGGTTACTCATACTTTGAGCCTAGGTGGAAATATCTCTTCCAGTATTATGTGATACCACTTCATTTGTCATTCTTATTTGTTGATCTTTTTATTAAAAGTCTCACTGAGGTAAATACTCCTTACCATAAATACATCATAAAAGGTCATGTGTCACCACAAATGCCTTTCCTCCTTATCAAAGTGAGACAAAAATGGTAATGATGATTGTATAGGTAGAAAGGCAGACTTGAAAGATAAGAAGAAATATGACGAGCTGAACTATAAGTAGTAATTCAGCACAGATTGCGTAAATTATTATTCTTTTTTTTTTGTAAAGGGAAAATTTTTGGAAAAAATGCAAGGAGGAATTATGTAATATTAATAATAATATAAAATAATAATAATAATAATAATAATAATAATAATAATAAGTTTTATTTTGGCATGATCCAGGAACACATTATGTACCTCTGTAATCTTTTTGACTACCACCCATAGGATGGATATGGGGTGCATAATAAAAATATTAAGCTAACTTAAACTAACTTTAGGCATGATACAGTGTTTGTACAGAGATGAGTGACAGTTGTGCTTTCAGAAAACCCATAGTTATGCACAGCATTTTGGGAAATCTTAAGCCTAACATACAGTGCTACATTTCAAAGGGGTGCTGATGGCATAGTAAGATCAGTAGACCTTCATTAGCATCAAAGGATCTCCCTTAAAGGCTACTCTGACAGAATGTACTTACTCAGGGACGGATCTACATACTGTGAAACTAATGAAGCTTTAGCTTCGGGGTCCCTAATCCCAGAGGGCCCCTAGAAGTGACTTGTCCACATTTCTTAAAAATTTTGGGTCTACTGTATGAGAAAGATTTAAAAAAAAAATATTAATAGCATAGTGTAATGCAAAACAAAATAGTAGTTAAAATAAAAATTAAAAGGTTATTAAAATATCATGTAGGTTAGCTGTTGCTGGTCGCAAAGGTGACCCCTTAACAGTTTAATCTTCAGGGCCACAACAGTGTAGGTCCTCCACTGTGTGCAGTATGTTAGTTCATGCACATGTACGAATGAGAATGTCACTGTATTTAACCCGTAAACGGTCCAAACGTATATATACATTTTTCAACATTTGAAAGTATGTAAAAAAAGTAGATCTTTTTTTTTTTACATTTGAAAATGTGTAAAAAAACTTTGATCTACTTTTTTTTTGTTATATTTGAAAATATGTAAAAAAAAAAACGTAGATCTACTTTTGGATCACTACGCATGTGAACGTAGATCTGCCTGTACCGTTTACAGATTAAACTTGATCTACCACATTTTCCAAACTATTTTTTGATGTACCTATCTGTTTTGCTACTACTATAGCCATGCAGATAGTTAGACTTTCCCAGAAATATATTATTTTTTACCATTGAATATATCATTGCTTAGTTAATCTTAAGTTAATTTTAAGCCTGCCCATAATGCTCTGCATACAAGGGGCTTTTGCATATACACACAGTCACTATATTTCTTTGTACAACTATGTATCATGTCCAAATAAAAAAAAGTAAAAAAGTGAGAAATTAACATCATTAGTACAGCACAGTGTATAATGATTTACACAAATAAGTGCACATAGAAGAATGGAACTTATGACAACATTTTGATCTGACTTGGACTAAAATAACATCAAAAGCTTCGTCTCCTGTGTATGGGTATTTGTGTATTATTTCAGTCACAGTATTGGGTCTTTTTATTCTTTATTATGATTTACCTTATAATAAATACATTTTCCTGTATGCCAGGTACAATTGCAGAAAGAGAACATCGCAAATGGGAAGCTGCAGTATCAATACCTAACAATCCTTATGCCCCTGAGCGCTTGGTTCAGCGACTCTCGCATACCCATATATCTGAGCACATCCCACCGCCTCGCCGTGCTATCAGCATGTGAGTAATATACTATGTGCTCCTCATGCACCACATTGTAATGTATGTACATAACATTTTATATACTGTATGCTCTATACTAATAATAATAATAGTAATTATATTAATAATAATAATAATAATATCTTCATTTCCACAAGTACATGTACAGTGGAACCTCAAATATCGAACTTTCTTCAGTCCAGAAGGTTGTTCAAGTGCCTTTACCGAATGAATTTATTTCCATCAGGAATAATATAAATTAGATTAGTCCATTTCAGACCCTCAAAAATACGCTCATAAAAGCACTTACAAAAATACACTTACATTGTTGGTTCTGTTGGGAGCAGTTCGATTTTTGAGGTTCCACTGTACAAGGTATACAGGCCTAGCCTACATAGTGCTGTATACAAAGCCCCGTGTTATGCAGAGCATTTTGGGCAAATTAGGTCAATTTTGTCCCTGGATGCAACCCACATTAGTCAACTAACACCCAGGTACCCATTTTATACTGGTGGGTGAATATAGACAACCGGTGTAAGGAAACACGCCCAATGTTGCAACCCTTCCTGGGAATCAAACCTGGACCTCACTGTGTGAAGCAAGAGCTTTTGGCACGAGGCTGGGGAACTGGGGTAAATTACCCCAAATGAGGTGAAAATGAAAATGTGAGGGGTAATGAAGGCTCAATAAACATATAAATAAAACTGCACAAAAATTTATTATTTAATATGTGAGGCAAATTATGAAAGTTCTATTTTTTTGAACAAATAATTTTTAGGGTTTTTAATATTTAGTTTCTTCAGGTTTCTCCAAATCCTGAAATCAAAATGTTTTCAATGAAATTCTTTACATCCTTAATGAGATTTTCATTAAATTTGTCTGTAATATTTTTTATTTCATGCAGTTTGTTTTTCATTTTATCTTTTGTTAATTTTGTGTTTTATTTTAAAGTTGCTTTATCATGTATGATACATATTTTTTAGCTTGTGTGACTCTATTCTCCATACAGATGGATTCAATAAACAATTTTGAATTTGAATGCTCCTTGTGTTTTCTGGATTCTATCGACTCTCAAGTCTAGTGGGTAATTTCACTGTACACATATTTGTTTTGGGGTAATAATCAAAAAAAGGTCACTGACCTTTGATCTAGTATATACTGTACAATAATTGGGAATAAATTATATTGTAAATGTAGGATACATACTAAATTATTTACAGCTCTTACAGTAACACTGCTGTTATAAGACTTTACTTCTTACAGTGTTTTTAATACCTCTAGTACAGTGCAGGTAATCTATAATAACTAGTAATTTTCTCTACATGGGCAGAGAATTTCCTGAGGAGAGTGGCCAGGAGCTGGATCCCAGCTTGCGTGATGGAGTGCCACCCACACCTGACCTCAATAGGTACAGTCGGGACTATTATGTAACATCAACTACTGGTAGAAGGACCTCCTCCCTTAATTTCAGACACCAAAAAAGTCACCACTACCACCACCACCACCAACAACAGCAGCAACAACAGCAGACCCTAGTACAGCAAAATAATGATAATCAGCAGAAGGAACACCGCCACCAGCAGGAAGATCAACAGATACTACATAAAAGTGAGATACTCTTTTCAGCTAATGGGCATAAAGTACCAAGAAGAACATCACCCACACTTTCTACAAATGTTCAGGTATGGGAACTCATGCCCTGTAAGGACATCATGCATGCTGTATGTTGAGCAATGTAGATAAGGAGCTGCTAAATTTCAGTCCCCTCTGTTAAGTGTCTATGGTCAAGGGGGTTTCTAATGATTCCCTCTGCATGAATGCGAGGACTGATTCTCCTAAAGTTGATTTATTCTTTAAACTCTTATAGCACTGATACTGCTATACACTTGATGGTGAAGGTTCTAATGTAGTAGCTAGTAGTGTAACCCTTTGAGGGTCCATCCTGTAGTTCTATGGCTTTGAAGCCTGAGTCCAAGCTTTAGTTCAACATCATGAGGTCAGGTCACTCATATAAGCTCAGTGGTAAATTTGGCCCTAGATATGAGAGAATGGATCTATGTGGTAAGTCTGCATCATATAAAACAAATCCTGCAGCACACAGTGCATAGTGAGAAAAAAAACTGTGACCCTGTTTATGGATTAAAACAGTGACTTTGTGGTATATTTTTGTATTGTTTTTATGGTTGTATTTGAGGTTTCTTGATCTCATTTGATAGAATGGAAAATATATTACAGAAATAGAGATGCTTTTGATTGGTTTGAGTACTGAAAATAGCCTTAAATTGAGCTCAAAGTAGCGGAAATGTTTGATTTTTGCCAATGTTCAAGAGTAAACAGATGACGTCATGTGTCCAATACATGTCAACTGGTGGGTCTATTATACGTTCATGAATATGATGATATTATTTATATAATTATTACAATAATGAATAACAGTATATCTTCTAGTTTTTGGTGTGAATAAAAATTCTTTGTGAATAAAAAATAAAAATGAAATTCATCTGTAAAGCATGGAAATGTAACTAATAAACAGAGGAAATGCTATTTTAGTACCAGGAATGCCTGCATTGTTTATTCTGGACCTTATTTTGAAATTGGAATATTTTGAACTTTGTGTGAAATTGGCCAAATTACCAATTTCTGATCACTTTATTGGGTAGTTGAAACAGTTAATTGGGCAGTTTCTTGTGCTCAATTGATAAAATAGAAGTGATACTAGCAAAATAGCTAAGAATTTGGTCAACTGGAATAATGCAATTGGCCTAAAATAGGAGTCAAAGTGGGCAAAATTGCTGATGCATAAATATCACTGACACAGTAAAATTAGCGATAGTGTAATTTTGTCAGTTCTCCATCAGATTTCCTACTTTTTGTTTATTACCTTCAGAAAAAGATTCTCAACCATTTCATAAGAAAAAATAAAAAAAAATTGAAAATTCTTGGACGCTGTGGACAGGGTGTAGAACTATGGTTTGGATCCTCAGAGGGTTATTAATTAATAACTTTAGAATGGACCTAAAAAGAAAAACGAATTTTTTTTTAACAAACCGGTTACAGTAGACCGTCGATTAGAATGATTTCCTTTAAAATGTTTTCTCCATTAAACTATTGTCAAATTGCGTCATATTTTCGTTTTACAGTTTGTAAAATTCAATTTAAATGGTTCTGCTTCTTGATAGGGAAAAAATTTCAGCACCACAAGCTGGATGAATGACTTACTGACTGCCATAATTTAATGATTTCCTGAATGTCTTGACTGACTTGACTGATTTACTGATTTTCTGAATGTCTTGACTGACCTTACTTGACTGATTTACTTAATGACTTACCTGATTTACTGAATGATTTGACTGATTTAGAGACTTGACTGACCAACTTGACTGACTGACTTACTGACTTGACTGTGATTTACTGAATGACTTGACTGATTTACTGAATGACTTACTTGACTGATGGACCTACTGATTTACTGAATGACTTACTTGACTGACTGACCTATTGACTTGACTGATTTACAGAACACACTCCCACAACATTCTCCCGACATTCCTACAACACTTCCACAGTACTCCTATGAAGCATGCCATAACACATTCCCTCAACACACACTCACATCTCTCAATATTTAATGCAACAACTCTTAATATTATATTCAAATTCAAATTCAAAGTTTATTCTCTATAAGGATTACAATGCTGAGTTTACAGAATTTGGTTATTGTGTGGTTTACATGTAGTAAAATAATGATTACAGAGTGTACCACTAGAACACCTAGCATGGCTAGGCATTTTGGGCAGACTTAGTTTAATTCTTAATTTTAAAATATTACAAATTATGAGGTAAGTTGGTGTTATGGCTAAGTGACTAAATACTAGTTTGTGAGTTTAGTAATGTGAATGCTTTTGTTTTGGCACAGTACATAGTTTCAGTATTGGAGTATCACACGATTCATTATTTTAAGATTGAGATTAATATTTCTGTTTATGGTCAACTGGGTGAGTGAGTTGCGTGAGTGTGAAACACCAGGTGGTATTCGTGTAGTTAGTTGACGGGGTGTATCAGGGAGATAAGATGTTTTCTAATGGTAGTTTTGAAGGTGATGAATGTGTCTGCAGTTCTAGAGTTCTCAGGTAGGGTGTTCCAGATTTTAGGGCCTTTGACATACATTGAATTTTTGTAAAGGTTTAGTCGGACCCGGGGAATGTCGTAGAGATGTTTGTGTCTGGTGTTTTGCCTGTGGGTTCTGTCACAACTATCAAGAAAGCATTTTAGGTCAAGGTTGATATTGGAGTTTAAGGTCCTGTAGATGTAGATTGCACAGTAGTAAGTGTGGATGTACTGAACAGGGAGTAAGTTTAGATCTATGAAGAGTGGGGGGGTGTGTTGCCAGGGATGGGATTTAGTGATTATTTTTACTGTGGCTTTTTGTTGGGTTATTATTGGCTTTAGGTGTGTTGCTGCAGTTGATCCCCAAGCACAAATAGCATAGGTGAGGTATGGATAAATAAGTGAGTGGTATAGTGTGAGAAGGGCATTTTGCGGCATGTAGTATCGTATCTTGGAGAGGATCCCAACCATTTTGGATACTTTTTTGGTTATGTGTTGGATATGGTTGCTGAAATTCAGGTTGTTGTCAAGGTATAGGCCTAGGAATTTGCCCTCATTATGTCTGGTAATTAGAGTGTTGTCGATCTTAATGTTAATTTGTGCATCTCCTGCTCTGCTACGAAACATAATATAGTAGGTTTTGTCAGTGTTAAGCATTAGTTTATTGGCTGTCATCCAAGTCAATATTTTGATCAGCTCCTCGTTAACAATGGTGTTGAGGGTGGCAAGATTAGGGTGAGAGATGACATAAGTCGTGTCATCAGCAAAGAGAATGGGTTTCAGGTGTTGGGATACGTTTGGAAGATCATTGATGTATATGAGGAAGAGCAGGGGACCAAGGACACTTCCCTGCGGAACTCCAGTATCAAGTGGCCGTGTTGTTGATGCTGTGTCTTTAATGGTGACATACTGATACCTATTAGTAAGGTAAGATTTGAAATGAGCAAGCGCATGGCCTCTTATACCGTAATGGTCAAGTTTGTGGAGTAGGATGCCGTGGTCTACTGTGTCAAAAGCTTTTCTTAGGTCAATAAAAATTCCTAGTGGATATTCCTTATTTTCCAATGCTGTGTAAAGCAGATCTAGCATTTTTATGATTGTATCATTAGTGCTTTTATTTTTCCTGAATCCAAATTGGCAGGGGTTGAGTATGTTTTGTGCCGTTATAAATGAATGTAGCCTCCTGTGCATGAGTTTCTCAAAGATTTTGGATAGCAATGGTAAGTTTGATATTGGCCTATAGTTGTTTAAGTCTGTAGGGTCACCACCTTTATGCATTGGTGTAACCCTTGCCATCTTGAGTAGTTTCGTGAAGGTGCTAGTTTCTAGTGACTTGTTAAAAAGTAATGAAATAGCATGCGAAAGGACATGGGCCACTCGCTTATACAGTAATGGTGGGACATGAGACAGATTCCCTGAGTTATTTTTAAGTGACTTTATAATCTCGGTGACTTCCATAGGCTCAGTTGGTGCAAGATAGAAGGAATTTGGGAAATTCCATCTAGGTAGTCCCCGGCATGGGCATTGGTATGTGGGATTTTATTGGCGAGATTAGATCCTATGGTTGAGAAGAAGTTGTTTATCTTGTTAGCTGTGTCAGTGGGATGTAGTGGTGTTTCATTAGGTTTAGTTAGGACAATATTCTTGTTTTTTTCAGTTTGTGGGTCCCTAGAATCTGAGAGAGTGCTTTCCAGGTCTTTTTTATATCTCCTCTAGTGTCTGTGAATCTACTGGAGTAGTATAGTTGTTTGACTTTCTTTATTACTTTGGTGAGAACTGATGAATAGGGTTTAAGAATATCTTTGTGTATTAAGCCCTGTCTATATTGCTTTTCATATTGGCATTTCTTGTCAGTGGATTTCAGAATGGTGCTGGTTAGCCATGGGCAACCAAGCCGTTTGTTTGTGATCTGTTTCTTTTTATAGGACAATGTTTGTTGTATAGTCCAAATAATTTCTTAAGAACACAATCTCGAAACACATGCCTGCATAATGTACACTCATAACATTCACTCCAGCATTCTCACCTAGTTGTACTACAACTCGCATCACACCTTAATTAAAAAAATTCATGAGGCCTGGTCACAAACGAGGGCATTGACCCCGAAACCCCCTTCAGTTATACTTCCACAATTAAAAATCCCACAACGCTCACAAGTCTACATTCTCATAGCTAGCAACACTCCCCCAAAAAAGCAACTCAAGAAACAGATTTATATATCCAGATAAATATATCCTCTTATCCTGTTCTGCTCCATCCTCTCTTGATTATTATTAGTATATTTATGGGAAGCACTAAACCAGTAGGGGTCATACAGTGCCTTGGGGAATGGAAGGCAATCAGGTTTAATCTAAGGAAGGACTGAGCCAATTCCTTAGATCAAGAGCTCCTCACCAGCATCAAGAAACCTTTCTTTAGAAGAACCCCTCTTATTAAAGGTCCAGCCTTCATTATATATGTTATTGTGCATCTGTTATATTACATTATAGTATATTATATTATACTACATTGTATTATACTGCATTATATTATATTTTTATACTTGGACTTGTTTGTAGAAGTGATAGAAGGTAAT